ATGATCCCCAAATGAAATGAGAGAAATGATCGAGAGCAAAATATAGAGCTAAGAACTCTTTGTAGTATATGGAGAACTTCAGTTGTGCTGTATTGAAGAGTCTTGAACCAAATGACACTGGTGCATATGTTTTCATTTCACCTTTGTTGTCAGTTTTCACATAGTCTTCAACCATTAGCACGAAACCTGTTCCATGATAGCTTGCATCACAGAGTATTACGTATTGTAATCCTGGTTTTGGTAAGCGGAGCGTTATTTCCGTTGCCTGGATTAGATCATGTTTTAGCACTTCGAGAGTTTTCTGATGCTCCTCATTTGTTTGAAATGCTATATCTTTTCTGAGAAGTCGATAAAAAGGTATCAGTTTTTCTCCTAGGCTTGGCATATAGTTGCGAAAAAACTGTACAAAACCGATTAATCGTTTAACTTGTTTAACCGTTTGTGGCATTTTAATTTTCTTTAAGAACGTGGAGATTTTCTCTTGTTCCGGTGACACTCCTGCTGGTGTGATTATGTTACCCAGGAACTTCAGTCTTTGTGTTCCGATCTCACATTTGTTCGGCGACAATTTAAGTCCTGACTTCCGTACACATTCGAATATTTTCGAAAGGGTCGGTATCATTTCATCGAAGTTATACACAGCGCTCCCTTATACACAGCACCGAAGTTAAATGCCAAAAGTTGGACTGAAAGGTCATCTGCCATTTGCACACAATGGTATGCTTGTGAGCAATCAAGTTTGGTAAACAAGCTCTTTCCTGCGAAGTGGTTCGAAGCATCGGTCATGTTTGAGATCGGAAAGTTGCTGTTGATATAGTCATTCTTGAGTGAATGGTTTATCCTTCTGAGGTCAATCAACATCCACAATTTACCAGATGGCTTTCGATGTGCAAATAGTGGACTACTGTATTTAGAATGTGACAATGTTGTTTTAAGTCCATAATAGTGCATAAGGGCAAGTTCCACTGTCAATTCGTGTCGCAAATGTATCGGCGTAGGTGGTCCTTGTGTATACAGAGGTCGTGTGTGTTCCGGTTTTAGTTTGATTTTGAGGTCGGAATTGTACCCAACATCGAATCTATGTTTGGCGAAGATGTCCGAAAAGTCAACAAGCAAATCTTCTACTTTTGACCTTTGGTCTTCTGTCAACACTGAATTTTCCCACTTAAAGTTCTTGATAAATGTCAATCGATCTTGACATTTCATTTTCGGTTCAAGTTTTTCAAGACCTTGAAAATGAAGAATTTGGTCGTAAATGTCGCGTTGGATTTGAGGAAGTAATTCAGGGTTTTGACATGTTTCAGGCGTAGGAAACCAAAATTTTTCATACTCAGGTTCATGCTTCATTTGGGGCTGCTGACTATCACACGATTGTTGAATTAGCTCATTAATGCCCATTTCAATATCGTCCGGGTGGTTCATTTTTGCAAATGCAATCATTTCAGGTTCGATGGGGAATAAATTTTCTGCTTCTTTCAGAGTCAGAATTGAAAATTTCCCAATTTCGGTTTTGAAAGGCAAAGTAATGTGATGATCGGTGATGTTAAACGCTGTGATATACAACAGGTTGTTTTTTAGCACTTGGCTTATTGAAGAAGTGAACGCAATTTTACAGTTTTCTTCAAATTCCTGAACCGGAATCACGATTGCGGTAGTTTTTTCCATGTCTTGACATGTGTTCTCTAGCTGGCATTCTACAAGAATTGTCTGATGTGGGGCTATTGTTTGACGTTTTGTCAGAAGCAAAGGGAATTTTTTCACTCTATTGACTCTTCTTGGCTCATTTGGAGGTTTTATTTCGTTGATTTGAAGGGTCATGTCTTTGAAATGCAGTAGATTATACTTCGGACAGACATGAATATGATGTTTTTTACAGAAAGGATTTCCTAGAATTATTGAATTGGCTGCATGAAGAACGAGAAATGATTCTATAAAGGTCATGTCTGCCAATCGGAATTCTAACGTTAGTTCAGTTTCAATGGAGACTTGTTGTCCTCCTGCCATTCTAACTCTCTTCAGTTTGGGTTCAATTACTTCAAGAGGGCGAAATAGCGATTTTTCTTCTTTTAGGTCTTCAAATGTCTGTTTTGAGATAACATTTGCGCAGGCTCCTGTATCGACCAGGGCTCTACGTTGTAATCCCGATGAGAAACGTATTTTCGTGTACGTCAGTACTGTTCCTTCCGCAGGGATTATTGCGTAAAGGCTAAGTATCTCATCAGGTTGGAAAAGTTCGTTAGGTGATGATTTAGGTGATTTCGATGATTTAGGGGGCTGACTCAGTGGCTTTATTAGTTTTTTGGCTCGTTTGGAAACGGGAAGTTTTGTCCGCGTCCTTGTGGTTTCTGTCGCCACCAGCATTGACTTGCTGTGTGGTTAAATTTTCCACAAACGTCACAAAATTTGGCTGATGATCGCACCATTGGTCCAAAAGGTCCGTTGGGATTTTGCGTTTCAGCTTGAGGCATTTGATTTGCGACAAATTGTTGCGTCGGATATTTCTAGGACTGTTGAAATTGTGCTGATGGATGCATTTGAACCATTGGCTGTTGATTTTGGTACATGTTTGGGTACTGCTGATTTTGAGGGTACAATTGCGAATATGGCTGTTGTGCAACTGGTGGCATATTGTGAAAGTTTGGCTGAGTATTGTTGAAATCAAATTTATTTTGCCAATTATTTCTACGTCTTCCGCCTCTGTTATCTCGCTGTTGTCCATACCCATTATTTTGGTTTGGCTGATAGCCACTATACTGATCACTCTGACTGTTGTTGTTCCCATTTTGTTCGGGGAGCGGATTCGATTGTTTATTCGACTGCTCAGTTATTTGTGATCTCATTTCGTTAAGCTGCTTCTCCATTTTTTCCTGATTTGTGGACAATTTTGTGATAGCGCTTATTAAATTTTCTAGACTTTGTCGTTTATTTCATTAAATCCGTCTTCCGGGTAATCGTCTTTTCGGCAAATCTCACGAATTGTGATTTGCTTCTTGGTCAGGTTGCACAGTTCCTGAACTGTAGTTGCAGGTGGTTGTTCCATCAGTTTTGATCTCAGCCAACCTGGCATTCCCTTAATGAACAGTCGTTTAATTTGTTCATTTCGGTTGTCATGTACAGCATCTATCCTTTCTTGCCTTTGAGCAGTTTCTCGGTGGAATCGTGCTGCTTCTGCTGCTGCAGGTGCTCCAATTATTGCAGGATCAATTGGGGCGACAGCTGGCAAATCTGGTGTCGGATACGCTCGCTGCGCTTTTTTCGTTAAGTTGACCAAGAAATTCTCTGGGGTATCTGTTTTCGGGTTGAATCGCAGTTGTTCTAAATTCAAAACGTGGATTTCTTGAAGTTGGGGGTTGCAAAAGTGATCCCTCAGGGCTATGAGACTCGCGGGAACGTTCGCTCGAGTTGCTGGTCCTAGTGTCTGGTAGAATCGCAGCGCGTTGTCTCGTAGGTGCAGTTGCAAGAAGTTCGCTTGTTGTGCGTTTGGTATCGCTGCTACTCCGATGTAGCCTTGAAAAAGTTGCTCGAATTCTGAAAAGTCTTCTTTTTCCGTTCCTCCATAGGGTTCGACCGAAACTTGCGCGTGTGCCATCGTATTACAGTCGAATGAATATCAGGATGATACATTTGATGATAAGATACAGCAGTTATTCAATTTAGGGGGAACACTAGGGAGTTTGCTATATAAATTAGCTCTTAAAGAAAGCTAGTAGTATCACTGATCAGATTTATTGATGCAATTATATGTTTGTGCTAAAGGTTCAGTTACTTGACTTCTATGGTGGGGAAACTTAATGGTAATTATATCAATTTACTGCAGGTTTGAGTTTCGAGTTTTGTTTTAACTAACTGTTTTTGTTGATTGTTGAAAAACCTGTAGATTTGCTTTCTTTGTCTGCCTTGTCAGTAGCTCAGCTGCCCTGCCTTCTGACTGGAACAAGAAGTAGTGATGTTGTAGGTCACAATCCACATCTGCTTCTGTAGATTGGAGAAACTTTCAGCCCGGAGATGTTGAGAAGTTGAGGCTGTCTTCTTTTTCTCCCTGTCTGTCTCAGTTGTTCGCTGACTGTTGCTCTGCTTTCCACATCTGAGCGTTGCTGGGTGAAACGGGTTGTGTTGCCCTGTTCTGTTTCAGCAAAGTCCGGTTGTCGTTGTCCGCTCGTGTGATGAAGATTGCAATTGCCGATGACTTTTGGTGAATCCAAAAGTAGAATCTTCCGCGACAGTCACCATGTGATATAGTGTCCCTTCGGATGGCTGTGGACAGCTTTATCGTCGTTTATTGATAATGTTGTAAGCTGTTCGAATATTAATTAGCACTACTGGCTATCAATTGTTATTGATTGTTTCCATAATTTATATGTCTCGAGCGGTTAAGACTTATCTTGCTTTTAAGGACGCAGGATTCGGTTCTTAACTTCTGGAATATCGCTAGTCGATCGGCGCAAGTTAGAGCATGATTCTAATATTTTATTCTCTTCAAGTCTACCCAATTGATTAGTAGCTCGGTATAAATCTCCAATGGTTGGTATTAATTACCATCAATATTTACATAGTTAAATAAATATAAATGTATGAACTTCATTTCATTAACAAGGTTAATTATGTAATCTAATATAGCATAAGAATGCATGACGTCATGTAGTGATGTCACATTAAGTTAACTTTAAATTATTAACTTTCGGGTTAGGCCTCTAGCTGGTTAACAAAAAAAGAATTGAAATAAAATGTTCCGATTTAAGCAATTTTGTTGCTCATATGGAATATAATCAAATGCAGTTTTAAAGAGATGGGTACTTTGGTACAAGTATGATAGTTGGTTGGGTTCCTGAGGAAAAGCTAATTTGATATCAAAATTTTTCACAACAATATAAAAACTGTTGGCATCAATTTAACTTTTTCCAAAACTATTTAATTTTCTGTGGAAATTTATATTTTCTGAAGTCTGTTTTTACAGATAACCTTCCGCGCATTCAATTTTGAAAGACTGGGTGTTTCTATAGGAACCTCCACGACCGAAGACGACAATGATGAGCAGAACGAAGTGACTTCTTTTGTGTTTGATGAAGAGAATGTAGACATTGTAGAGAATGCTATTGAAGATGAAGAAAAGGAAGAAGACTCGCTGGTAGAAGTGAGTCAGATAGGGGAGGGCGAGGAAGAAGAGGAGAAATCGGATATTTCGGATTACCTCTTTGTACAATCAGACAGAGAAAGAATCGGTGAGATTATAGAAATCTTAATTAAAACTGCTCATTTCAAGGCAGTCGTGAAAATTTTGACTTTTTCTTAACATTTTTCAAATACTTTTGATTTGAAAAATTGACAACATTTTTCAAAAAAGTATAATATTTAAAAAATTGTTTTTAAAATAAAGAACCTTTAAAATTTGAAATTAATTGCGAGACAGATGCAAACGCCGAGTTAATCTTAAATAGTAAACGGTCAGTGAGACGCGGGATCCAATAACAAAGGACTGCTACTGCAGCATATTGATACTGACAAAATGTTTTTAGGTGGAATCCGGAACTGTTAAAATCTCATTAAAGCAGTGATTCCACGATCCAGTTATTCTCGAGTGGTTATTGGAATCCACAACTAATATCAGCATTTCAAAAATCTACAACTTTACCAATAATAATCATTCGGTGAATCACTTTTTACCATACGGTTGTATCTTTGTTGGCTTTTGTACTCAGGACTTAGAAAACGTTCAGATTAGTTTTTAAAAACCATTTGGATTGTCATCGTGCTTTTTCTTCAATGTTGCCGCCTGGTAATACAATATCAAATAGATTAGGATGTTTTGGGTCTATTTCGTGGATATATAATGAGTTTAACTTGCTTGTTTCAAATAAGCTTGCACTGCAATGGTCGTTTGAGAGCCGATTAATTGCAGCTTTCTAGTTTTTTTTGCGAAGCGTGCGTAGATTAGTTCAGCAATTTTACCAATGTGCAAATAACTCAGCCACCATTATATTGTTATAAGGATCCATTTTTAATACCCCATTGAAGATATCGGCTCCCTGAAATCAAATAAAAAAGGATATTTTACCTCCGATCATTTTTTTTGCAAAGTTATGAGAGTTTGAAAATTGCCAATTTGGCTGCGCTCTGGACTAATTTATGCACACTTTGAAGATTTTATTAATAATGCTGAAAGCGTAACACGAATTATTTATGCGTGGCGAAATATATTGCGAACAAAATTGTTCCAAATTGAATTGAGCTAATTGGCCGTATTGATTTCGTACGACTCAAATTTTCACAATTAATATTTGATATTGTCCAAAATTTATATTTTTTCAATATTTTCTAAAAAAAACTAACTATTCGATATAATTAGGGGCAGTCGAAGCATTTGGGGCTTTCCACTGTATACGAGCAGGCTTGTTGTTCCGACTTTCGAATAAAACGGAATATTTTTGCTCGGTGTGGTTTTTTTATTCAGTCAGTTTTCACCGATCGCAATAATAATTTTCAACAACATTTTTTTATACCTTATTGAAGATATCAACTTCTTGAGTTCAAATGTAAAAAGATATTTCACCTCCGACAATTTTTTGTTAAGTTCTGGGGATTTAAAAATTGCCAAATTTGCCATGCTCTGGATTGAGGCATGCTAATTGGTCGTCTTAAATCGCACTGTTCAGATTTTGACTCTTGATGATTGATATTGTCCAAAGTTTATGATTTTTTAAAAAATACTTTTTAAGAACAAATATTTGTTACCGATTAAGGGGGCAGTCGGAAGATTCAGGGCTTTTCCCTGATATACGAGCGGTACTTTTTTGTTTGAAACTTTTGTATCAGTTTCCCAATTTGGTTTAAAGACAAATATTTGATACAATCAGAGCTTTGCCTTGAAACAATCATTTTTCAGCGATCATCTAAACCATTAATTTTTATCTAGGGGTTGATGGTTTGTTCAAGGTACCATAGGTTGGTTACGGATAGTTGGAACTGGTTGATCCTTGTTCTTATTGGTTTATCCGAAGGTGGGTGGGCCGGGTTTAGACTTAATCTGGACTAATTTCAGTCAACTTCAGTCGTTCACGTCATTCAATGATCCTCTTATGAACCGATTTAGTCTACTGTTTTTCCATATGTCTATCATATATGCCATTGTACTATTCATCTCTCCAATATTCCATCAGTTTTGATTATGAATGAGATTATGTGCTCCCTGGGCAGGTCTATTGTTCCAAATAGCACAAGTGTGGAGACTTGGATTTAGAACAAGCCATGCAATCTAACAAATAGAGGATTAAAAATTTATTTATTAGTACAACGATCATTGCAATTCGTCGGAGCTTTCAAGTTTGATTACTAAAAAGCGACTGAAACTAGACAAAATATTTTCAAAATTTTGATGAAAATTAGTTTCTGGATTCTGAATTTTTCTTTATATTTGTATATTTTTCAGACATCCACCGGGAATTGGTAAGCTTAATTAATAAAAATTCACCAACAAACTAACTCAAGCTCATAACACAAAAATTGTCTTCGTTCATCTGTTTCATCTCCCAGGAAAAACTAAATTATCAGAATTACTTTTTGCACATTCTAATGCTTTGGAAATTGAAAACTGAAACTCCCCTAACTTGATTTATTTGTGATTGATTTTTGATACCTATTTTAAGTTACTTTTGATTTTATTGAAAAAACTTGCTGTTTAGATCAACAGATTAATTGCCGGTACCCGCAAACGAATCAGCGCCTTCGACATTCAGAACATAAAGGAAGTTTCCCCTCACAAGTGTTACATAATCCGAGACGAGGCTGATCTCGAAAAGGAAGTAAGAACCGACTTCAAGATCTCGGAAAATTCCACCCAGCTAGCCGATCCAATCTTGGCCGAACTGAGTTTCATCAGCGATTTTTCCAGTCGGTTTAGTGGTGAATGGCTAATCAGTGCTTCATCGACTACTGCTTTTGAGTCCTCGATTCTAGACGAAACTGAAGAAGATGAAGATGGTGAAGACGAATTGAATTCAACCATGGAAGCCGAAAAGAAGAACGAAAGTGAGGTTTCGGCAGCCAATCAGAATGTAGATCAAGCAGACGAATCGGACGATCAAATAATTGTCCAAACAGTAGCGGCCAAAGTCGAATCACAGCCTGATGAAATTTTTGAAGGACTGAACTCTGAAAACGAACAACAAAAAATTCCTCTTGACCAGGAAAAGCTGTTTGGATCCAGTGAGGAAATCAAAGCTCGTGATGTGTTGAATGGTTCTTCGGGGTCTTACACAACTGTAAGTACAGTAGCTGAAGGACCCGATCTCAACGAAGTGGACGAATCTGTTCTCGAGGAGTTTTCTCGAGATCCGAAAAACGAGGACTTGCAAAGTGGACAACAAGATATTTTACCAGACGACAACGAGGATGACCAAATTGAAACAGAAATTTTCATGCAGCAACTGGTCAATGGTTCTCTTCAAGACGCTGTGAAAGACAACGCAGAGAGCTCGAAACAATTTAGATCCTCTTCACTTAGTCCACTTCCGCGCATCTCGAGCTACAACTCAATGACATCGAATCGAAACGAGGAAGAGACGCTGTCTAAACTGGAAACTGCTCCTTGGGAAGACGAAACGTCACACATATCTGACGCTAGTCATATTGAAATGCGACCCGAAAAGCTGATAACCGGCAATGAGCTCAAATTTGACCTCACTGAAGACTTGAGGGAAACTTCCAAAGAGAGCGTTCAGCTGGAGAATTCTACGGATGATTTCCAAACGGCATCTTCTGGCTCGGATAACGAGAATTTTGAAGCTGTCGTTGACGTAATCGATGATGAAATCGGCGGCTCAGAAATTCCTCACGAAGAAAACATTGAGGTGGAAGATGTTGCCGGTGTTGAATCGAGACCTCGAGACATGAACTTGAACATTTCTTTAAATAGATCAATCAGCGGAGACAAAAAATTCAGTGATCACGTTTACTCGCATGTTAACAAAGAAGACAAACCGCCGAGGTATCCGCAACATGTAAAAAGACCTTCGACTGGGATCTCGGAAACCCTCGCCGATACTCCTAGGAGCGGCATCAGTTTTATGAGTAACGCGAGTAGTAATATGGACCACCAGCCCAAGACTACAGATCAATTGGAGAATGACTTCTCGAATATTCTGTATTCAGTCCAAGGTCAAGTCCAAAACGCAACTATGACCGATAGCGAGTCGAGGCCAAGCGAAGAGAACGAAATCTCCGCGACAAATGCAAATGACCTTGAAAACGAAAACGAAACCGCAGAAATAATGAATCAAAGTCAAGAAATGCTATCGTTTGACGAGTTCTTAAAAGAATCGGCAACTACGCCAAAATTCATGTACGAAAAGAGCAAAACTCGGAGTATGACCGAAGTTTCGAAGCCTGAAACTTCAGTTGAAGCTGAAAAAACGAACTTGCAAAGACCGCAGTCGCTTTTTACGATTCCTGGTGACACTGACGACAATTCATTAGGAAGTAGCAGTCGGTTCGACTCGGTTCCTGAGAAACTCTTTGAACACTGCGATGATAAATCTAAGCATAAAAAGAAGAAAAAATGGTATTCGTTTTTGAAACCGAAAAAGAAGAAGAAATCTGACTTGAATATTGTACAGGACACTCGGAGCCTCGGAGGTGAATCTTTGTCGAGATCCGAAACGCAAGCCAGCTCCAATCCATTTCAGAGTTTAGACAGAAATCGAATGAACAGAATTGATAGAGACATCGAAACAGAGCTTCCTAATTTGACTTCTACAGAACACAACGAAACACAAAATACCCCTGAAACAAACATGCAAGATCTAGACGATGATCCACCTAGCGCTGATCTAATTGTTGCGCTGGATATAGATCAAGGGCGATCTATTATCGAGACATTTGGTTCCGCAGATCAGACAAACCTTGAATTTGGTGAAGTAAGCGAACTAGTTGAAGCTCTTTCGCTCGACTCTTCGGTCGAAATTGATGAAAACGAACCCTTGCGAGGACAAGTGACAAATTCTTCGGATATTCTGGTTCCGACCATCACTGTTACACCCGATGATACCCGAGAGGAAATCGAAATTGATTTAGATGAAGTTGAAGATTTCATTGAAAGTGAGATGAAAGAAGCAGAAATGGCCACCGACAGTAGCGACTCGGATGAAGATGACGAAGACGAGCAATCTGAAAATGGTGAAGAAAACGTGAAAACAAGTAGACTAAGCACGGAAAATGATATCGAAATTAAGGAAACTGATGCGGATGAATATTTGGACAAGAATGAACAAAATGACAAATCAATTGCAGACGATGTGAAAATCAATGAGAAAGATGTTGAAAATATTGAAAAACCTCATGAAAATGACGTTCAATTTGCTGAAGAACCTGAAATGATCGATGAAGTTAAAAACAACTCAGACGTTCAAACTGTTCCTGAAGATTTAGATGAAACTAGAAAAGAAAATAAACCACTCGAATCGAAACCAACAGACCCAGCCGACGATTACGAAACAAACAAAAACACAGTCGACAATGATTTGAGCAGCAATGAATCTGATAACAGTTGGACGACTTCTGAAATTAATTCAGAATTTGAGCAGCCTCAAGTTGAACCGCAGACTATAAAACAAGCTCAAATAGTGACGGCTTCTGATATTTCACTCGGAACTCAAACGGATTCAGAGAGACAGCGTTTCGAAAAAGATGAATTTGATAGCGAAAATGGTGATCTGAATAGGACTCTTGAAGTTGAAATTGAACCTCAAGACAAGTTGATTATAATTGCTACAAAAGACGCCGAAAAAGTTGAAAGTATTTCCTACGATGATGCCAAAAATAGAGCTGAATTGTCTCGATCGCCTTCAAACACAAGTGCAGGGATCAGTGAAATCAACACGCTGAGTCAAGCACCGATGGATCTGATCTCAGAGCTAAATGATTCCAAGAACTCAAAGCAGAGTGACAAAAATAGTCAGGATGGATCTCCAAAGAATCAGAGCTCAAAAATTTCTGTGAAAGTTGGCGATCAAGACGACGATGATGTTGATAATGAAGAAACCGATGTTGACGAAAACAGCTGGGCGTCACAACATGAAAAGATTTCAGTTCTTGAAAACTCTCAAGGTCAAAACAGCTTCATTGATGTAAATGAGATAAGTCGCGCCTCAGAAAAGTCATGGGATAACATCAATTTACGCAGTGGACATTTGAACCCGGAGGAAGCTCAAACAAAAGCGGCTCTTGAGGTGTCTGAAACATCTGGAAGTGAGTTCGAAGATACCGATGATCCAAATAAGGAAACTGCATACGTCGATATGAGCGGTAAAATGACTCCACCGAGCTTGGAAACTAATTTAGAAGATAAAAGAATTGAAGATGTTGTACAGATCGAAACATTAAACAACATCGAATCGACACCTCAAATCTTAGACACAAAACTGGGTCTTCATGAGCTGGAAAAACAAGACGAGAATAAGGATAATTCAGTAATTGATAACGCGAACGTTTCAAATGGCTCTAAAGGTTCCCAAAACCATCTCAAAAACAACTTAATAGAACTCTCACAAGATCATAACGGTTCTGGACAAGCTGAAAATCATGAAGCGAGCGAAAAACATGATTCGAATGTCAGTTTAGAGCAGGTCATTTGCAAAACTGATACAGATTTCAATACCGATTATGATAATGATGCTAAGCCAAATGAAAAAGAAAAATCATATTATGGATCCAGTAGTGAATCATTGAATACCCCACATAACCAAAGTGACGTAATTGTGGACACGTTGGCTAGTGTAGAAACTTCTAGATTAAGTGAACAAGAAGGTGTCAATCAAGTTGAAGAATCTGCAAAATCAGAAGATAATAGATTGGTTGCGGATCGGCCTGGAGATCATAAATCTTCAGAGAAAGGCGCTGTAGACTTGAACGCGGAAATACATTCAAGTGATCAATTAAATTTTGAACCACACCTAGGCGATGACTTCGAAGGTCGTGATGGTAATGAAGAAATTACTCACACTAGTCTAGAACCAGACCAAGTTTCACGAAGCTCATCAGAAGCAGAAGCTGGTGCAAATTTCGACATGTTTGATGATTCCGATAGAATTCCTGATGAGGACTTTAGGAAAGATTCGAGTCCATACATTAACATGAATGAAAGAATGGCGCCTCCCAGTTTGGAGCGATCAGTCGAAAACACGATTCAGACATTGGACGAACAAGCTAAAAACAGAGAAAAAATTGATGAAGCCAAAAGCGGAGAGAAAATCGACGAAGCGAAAAGCGGAGAGGAAATCGATGAACCCAGAAGTGGAGATCAAATTGAGGATGAATTGAAATCAGAACCAGATATCGTACAACCAGAAAAAGATGATAAACTGCAGATTCTCCCAGATATACAATTTAATCAAAGTTCAGACATTTTGATAAACGATTTCAACGATCTGCGCGCTACGCCAAATGATAGCGTAACCGAATGCTATGTTGACGAAAAAGAGGACGCGAAGAAAGAAGCTTCTCACTTTCTGCTAAGTGTAAAAAGTGGACTGACACCCGGAGTTAGCCCTGGATCTACTAGTCGCAAAAGTTTCCTCCCTTCTCTTTTGGAGCCTCCGAGTAAAGACGATAGCCTCGACACCGATTTTGAATTTTCTGACTCATCTGAAGACGAGAATAAAGAAAAAAACAGCATGAAAGAAAACTCAACTTTGGAAAAGAGCGAGCTGAGCTCAGAAGCTCTTAAGCAAGGCCAGCAAATTGATTCTCAATTTAATCAACTCGAAGGGCCAGTTTCAAAAGTAGACGAAGAAAAGGTTTCACATTCCGCTACTAGAAATTCGACATTGGAATCAGATGCTCTAAAAATAAGTCAGACATCTGTAAATTTTAATCCAACCTATACAGATGTTCCAGTTACTGCAACGCCTGTTAATACACCGACAGAAATCCGTCCCACTTTGGTAGCTTCTCAAAGTAGTTTTCCAGGTAGAAGTTCTGGAGTGATGGTCGCACCTGAAAAAGTATTCAAACGAAAAGCGAGTCCTTCGCCTATGCGGAAAGATGACAAAGAAGACAAATCAAACTCTAAGAAATCGAAATCAAAAAAGAAACAAATTCCAGAATCAGATTTAACACTGACGCTAGATGATAGTTTCTTTGAAAAACCAAAACCTTCACTGGAAATCGAAGAAGCACCCTTGCCGCCACCAGTGGATCCTCCTAGTTGGGAATCATCTCCAGGAGTTGCAGAGCGAGAACCGAAACTAAACCCATTTGTTGCTCCTCGACGTACGGATCCTCTGGTCGCTGAACTGAAGAAATATCACTCAGATCATGGAATGAGTATTTCGAGCACCGAATCGGAAAGCGAATTTAAAAGGTCAATTGAAGAGGCCAACCCTAAAAGTTTCCTTGTTGAAGCTGAAATCAATTTTGACAATGTACAACAAGATCAGGATAATAAATTGAATTCACAACCGGAAGTTCACTTTGACCTAAGAGAGAGTAAAGAAGGCCTTTTAAATTCAGATTCAAACAACCCAGAAATTAATTTAACCTCCGATAGTAACATTGAGAAACAAATTCCTGAATTGGATTTGGAAAGTTCCAACTTCGATAATAATGATCAGGAGAATTTCCGATTCACGCAATCGGTTGAAAATGGTGCAAATTTTGAAGCAACAACTCCTCAAGAGGTTATAAGAATGTCATCAGTTTCAGCTTACCCTGGAGAAGATACTCTATTCAACCCTGGATTGAAGAAGTACGCAAACACTGAGTTCTTGAACAACTCTGGAAATTTGAATGAAATTTTAAATGACGGTGCGAAAAGCGAGATGAGCGAAGATGTTTCCAGAGACGAAATTTCTATCACAGATGAAAAGGAGCAACAAAATTCAAGTCTGGCGGAAGCCGAGTTTGCTTCCGAGACCATTTCGGATTCAGAAAACGATCATTCGACGACTGTTTTTGATTCCTCAGTGGACGAGAAAGATTTCACGAAAATAAAAGCGGGAAGGGCATCAACTCTCATCGAATCAGATTCTGAAAACGAACCATTCAAATCAAAAGACGGTAAACATTTTTCTGAAAAAGATGAAAATGATATTAATGTTGACAATAAAATATTGGACAAAACTCTAGAAGACGAATCTTTGAAAGAGAGCGAACCAAATAGTTATGTAACTACCGATTTTGACTCGAAAGACTTATCCGAAGCTTTCAAGAAAACCACAGAAATCAATCTAGAAATTTCGAAACACGATAGCCGAAATGAAACAATTGACGAAAGCGACCTTGAAATTGAACTTAAAACTGATCAAGTTGCGAGTCACACAGAAAACAGAGATGAAAAGTTGAAACAAATCCAAGACAAAGAACCTTCATTTGAAAAGATCAACTATGAAGTTTTCAAAATTTCAAACTCAATCGACGAAATTTCTCTTGAAGATCTATCTGGAGACCAAAAAACGAGTGAAAATAGATCTGAAAACGAAGAGTTGGCAGATCCGGTTTCAGAAGAAGGTTTTCACGTTACTTCGCGAGTTCTGAAAAAAGATTGTCGGAGAAAACTGGACAGGCAGTCAACTGGAGATTCTGAAGTTAACGATGGACTCTCAGAAGATGAAAAATCTTCAATCGACAAAGATACGAGCCTTGTTAATACAGAATTGAATGACAGTATTGACAAAACTGTGAATGAAAGTGATTTTGATGTCGAATCAAAAAGCAAACTAAACGCTGAAGTTGACATTGACATGCTAAATGTGTCGGATGAAGATAACGAAAACCAAAAATATTTCAAGAAAATAGAATTTCAGCCTTTCGGTTCCAATGAAAGCTCAAAATCAGAATCACAAAACTCTTCGAAACTTGAAACAGGTGAAAACTGTTTGCATGAACCTGTGGACGAAAACAATTTAGTTGACGAGGATTCGTTTGAAGCGGTTCTGAGATCAAAAATAGATGTTGATCTCAGCTTTCACGAAAAAGAAAAAGAGAAAACAAGCGATGAACAGATCAGCCCTGAGATGAACGAATTAAAAAATGACACGTCACAAGTCAGAAGCGTGGTTGAAAATGATTTCGAAGTTGAAAGCAAACAACCTGCTCTTGAAAGCAAAATTGAGAAATTGGATGACTTTGAGTTTTTTGGAAATGAAAACTTTAGAAGAATTGTGTTTGTTCCTCACGATGTTTCTTTTAGCAGTGATGACCAGTATTGTGGAAGCAAAGAAGGCAAAGATAAGAGAGATTTAATTGACTTCGCTGAAAATTCCGAGAAGGAGTTTTTCCCAGACGCCGTCGAGGAAAGTTCGGTACAGGTTACAGTAAGAGGAAAACTGCAGCCTGACTTCAAAAATCCGGAGCTTCAAAAACTCAATACAAATGATTCCATCGATAGTAACCGAGGTTCTGGCCATAATGTTAAGGATGATAACGAATATGAGCTAGAAAATGACACACTTGAAGATAAAAGATCAACAGCACACGAGGAAAAGCTGGTTTTGGAATCCGAATTAAACAGAAGTATCGAAAAAAGTATAAACGAAAGTGATTTCGAACTCGAATCAAAAATGAGGTTGAATGCTGAAGTTAGTCTTGACATGCTGAGCGCTTCAAATGAAAATACCAAAAATCAAAAACCTTTCAACAAAATAGAATTTCAGCCTTTTAGTTCTAATGAAAATTCAAGAACAAATTCACAAAATTCTTCGAAAATCGAAAGTGATGAAAATCCTCCACAGGAACCCGCAAATGGAAAAATTTTAGTTGATGAGGACTCCTTTGAACCAGTTTTTAGGTCCAAAATGGATGCTGATCTCAATTTTCACAAAAGCGATGCAGATAAATCAACCGATGAAGTAAACTCATCTCAAGTTTCAGAAGTTAACGAATCAGAAAACGACTTGTCACATGTCCGAGGCGTAGTTGAAAGTGACTTCGAAGTTGAAACCAAGAAACCTGCACTTGAGAGTAAAACTGAGAAACTGGATGACCTTGAATTTTTCGGAAGTGAAAATTTTAGAAGAATTGTGTTTGTTCCACACGATGTTTCCTTAAGCAGTGATGATCAGTCTCACGGGAGCAAAGAAGACAAAGGAAAATCTGATCTGAATGATTCCTCTGAAAATGTTGATAACCAATTTTTGCCAGAATCTGTGGACGAAAATTTGATTGAGGCTAGGACTAGAGTCAAACTGGAGCCCGACTTGGAAAAGTCAGACATCGAAAAATCACTTGAAGATTCTTCAATCAATACTTCCCAAGATGGCCATGATGAAAGCAATAATGGCAATTCTCAGTTAAACTTAGATTCCGAACAAGAACAAATTAAACAATCAGACAAGTTTGATCATGAACCAATTGACAGAGAAAGCGCAGAAGCTGAAGATCAAGCAGAAACTATTTTGTCTAAGATTGAACTTAATGACTTTGAAGACACACAGGCACCCGAAATCAAACAGGTTGAAAAATTTGGCGCTGTACACCAAGAGTTCCGAAAACCTTCGGAACCCAAGGTTGACGGAACCGGAAATCCTTCAAGTGTTCTGGGCAACTATGGTTCCACCACGCAACCATCAGTAAGTATATTTAATGTACCAGAAAGACGCTCCGAAGTGTTAGTTGGTCCCGAAAAGGTGTTTCGACGGCGTCCGAGTCCAATTGGAAAAGGAAAACACGACAAGAACAAACATCATCATGAAGAATCAGACCTCACGTTTACTCTAGAAAATAGCCGAATTGAAGAAGAATTCCCTGGAGCCGCAGTGCAACTAGAGACTCCTAAAAACGAAATTGAGAATGGAAATCTTGATATCGAAACGGAATTTTCCAGAACAAATGAGCACTCCGATGTAATTTCTACGACGGAGGCGAACAAAAATCAGCAAACCGATATTGGTCGCATGATTGAAACTCCTGAAGATGCTCCGAATGTTGAGAGTTCTCAGCCGTTGTTTGTGGACCCTCTGATCGCTGAGCTGAAGAGATACCAATCTGAACACGTGTTAGTAGTAGCCGATGATAGTTTAGAAGAAAATTTGGCAGATATCCCAGAAGCTAAATTTCAAAACGAAAAAAGTGACAATGGTGTAAATATTTCTCAACTTGAGCTTTTTGAATCCAAATTACACGATACCCCTAAAAACGACTCAAGTAATTTAATGGGGATAGAAGTATCTGATATGAGCACAAAACAGGAGGGTGAAAATTTTGCCGAAAGTTTAGAAACGAAAACTGTACTTTCGGCTGATCTAGACAATTCGGCTAGTGAATACATCACAACTGACTTTGACACAAACGACGCTCTTGATGATTCAAAAGGCAATCCGCTTGACAAAACGGACGAGCAATTGGGCGAATTTGCGGAAGGAATTGACAGTAGTTCAAACTTGAAAGAAAAGCACGTTGATTTGAGTTTCACCATACCAAATGCGAATTCCGAGAATTTACACGAAGATGGTTGGACAAAAATAATTGACGAGAGACGCAAAAGTGACGCTATTTATGTAAGTTTTGCGCCGGTTGATGGTTCGGAATTTGAATCAAGAGAAGTAATAGAAAGTGACTTTGAACTTGAAGCGAAAAAGGACCAAGTCTTGAGCACTGAAATTGATCTTTCAGTGATTGCAAGTGCTATACAAGACCACGAACCTTTCGAGAAAATAAATTTCCAGCCTTTTGATGACTTGTATTGCTATGATTCAGATAATGCTTCTAACGCGAATAATTTAAGTCACAATCATGGAAATAAATTCGAAGATGACTTGTCTTTCGCAAACGAAGATCCATTTGAAGTAACCTTGAGGACCCGAATTGATGCAGTTGATTCTAAACCAATCAAATTTTCGAATTCAGCTACGGCAGATCGAAGGCACTCGTTATTGAAAATGAGCCAAATGTCGAGCCTAGATGATGATTATAGTACAGAATCGGGCGAAAAGTTTTTATTTGTTGTACCTGGACAAAACAACCCGAACAATGATCAAACATCGTCAAACTTTGCTAACAAGATGAAAGATGGGTTTGAGGAAGGCATCTCAAATTATGAAATTGCTGCTATAGTCGAAAATGTTTCTGATTCCGAGGAAATAAACATCGATGAAATCAATTTGGCTCGATTGCAGTCGAGATCCAATAATGGATCCCCAAATGACGGCGATTTGATGATGCACGACTTTGAAATTGTGAAAGAAGACAATGAAATTGACTTAAGATCAACATCGTTTGCATCTGATGTTTCTGATTCAGAATACTCCATAACTTCCTTGAGTGATTTCGAAAACATTTTGGCCACTCAAAAACCAGAAGATGCAGATGAAAGCCGAGAAGGAACTCCAGACATCGCGTGGCATGCAGCGTTACGTAAGTTGAACTCGGATCCTAATGCTCCACTGAAAGCTGAGATGGAACCGCGCGCTGAGAACCGAGTGTTGCCGACTTACTATGGATCCGAATCACTGACGACACCGATTAATGAAGCTGAGGCAGTGCTTTCCTTGAGTAGTGACTCGGCTCCTCGGCAGTCGTACACTTCTGTGACCACTGTTCAAGACGAGACAAAAGATGGCGATGAGAATAAAGAATTGAAAAAGGACGAAAGTGACACAACTTTGATTGTTTCGGAGTCTCTGACTGAAGAAGATCAGAAGGCCACAAATGATGTAAGTTCTCCAACTTTCAGTTTTGTTCACTTTGGTCTGATTAGTGTTAGCATGAGCACACGACTGGCATTGAATGTATTTCACGCTTGAAGTTTCATATCATAGGCTCAAAAAAGCTTATTTATGCTCAATTTTAGCTGTGAAAACTTAGTTTTACCCAAGTAAAGTTAGTCTTTGAAGTTTGTTTTCGCTATTTTGTGAATCTGAGACTGATGATAGTCGAAACTGCTGATAATCAGATTGATAGACAGATATTAGATAAATTGATAGATAGATAGAGATATATAGGCATACAGAGGGAAAATTTTAGAGAAAACGAAAACCGAAAATGTTTTTCTTTCAACTTAGAATTCTGAAAGTTTAAATCCATTTTTGAAACTAGAGGGGACGCAATTAAAAATCAACAGTTGAATGTTTCACAAAACTCTAATTGACCTTTACATAATTACCGGATTAAAACTGGGTTAAGAGGTAAAAAGTTAGGGTTAGGTGGCTGAATTTTATACAGTTTTCAGCCGAATAAAAAGTTCTCGATAACTATGAAAACTTAGAGCGGAAGATGACGCTTGGTTTAATGTCCCAAATAATTTTTTTCTATATCAGCTATAGCTTTTGCTTGACTTTTTCTGGTCCTTGTGCACCTTCTGTTAGTTTGCTCATCACCTATAACAACTGTCTTTAACACTAATGTTTTCTAACTAATTCGCAATTTAGGATGAAAAAGACCCACTAGCAAGTTATATTGCGAGACCAGCGAATCTTCGTTCAAATGCAAACACATTGACAGTTCAAGACGATTCTAATCTTGAGTTGTACAAAGATCCGATTTTCTCAAAGAGTCCAGTTTTTGTCGACAAAACCTCGCCGTTGACAGTAATCGGAGCTCATCAAGACGTTATTTTTTCACAAGAAACCGCTTTAGAAAAAGTACCTTTCGACTCCCGAGAAAAATTTCTGGTGTCGTCGAGCGAAATTGAGTTGCCAGCTGTTGGTAGTAGTGGTGATAGTTTTAATAACCTCGAATCATCACCTGAAAATTATTTTGACATTTTGAGAGCTATCAATGAAGAAACTACTTCTGAAGTCTCGGATCAAGTCGAAAGAACCGAAAGCGATATGAAATATAATTCAGAACATTCTAGAACAACACGTTCGGATAATACCACGAATCAGATAACCGAACCCATGACTTCTGATGCGTCAGATATTAACCAATCGCAGCATTCGAACAACCACTCTGCTCAGACTAGTTCGTTCCAATCATTTGACCCGGGTTCGAACCAGGACTTGGACCAAAATTTTCTAAAAGGCCAAACTTTGTTACATAGCGAGCCGAACTCTCCGAACCTCGCCGGTGCGCGTCACTTGAGTTTTGAAAACCAAAATAAAAAAGCTACTGAACAAAGTGGCGTAATTTCAAAATTGCTTTCTGATCAAGTGGCTAGCATACCGAGCGTGAATAGTAACCAAAAGCCAAATGTTTACAATGAAGAAAATGGTCTATTTTTGAAGCAATCTGAGCCGATTAATAAAGTTAATTCAAACGTAGACGAAGCTATTACTGAAACTGCTTTAATGTATACTTATAGCCAAAGCTTAGATTTACCGACTGATCAAAAAATCAATGCGTTGGTTAATGAAAAGAATACAAAAAGCACAGAAAGGAGTAAATATACTAATAGGCTGGCTTGTGACTTACCACGCGAAAATAAAAACTCATCAGCTGAGTTTGAACAAGTGGAGTTAATAGTTGATTTAATCTCAAAGCGAGAACTGAACGCAGAATTTGAAAACAACAGCGGCTTAGATTATAGTAACGGCTCAGAACTAAAATTAAACACCGGCTCTGAAAACTCTTCAGAGGATGAAAAATCCTGTTCAAGTTATGACACTAGCGTGATTGAAACACCATTTGGCCAACTTGCGGTGAGTAATAATTACTCTTTGGAAAATATGGGGAACACAAAAACGCCAGCGGAAAACCAGGAGGAAAATATAAATCCAGCCAGATTATCCGGTTCAGTGTACAGCATTGGAAGCCAGGGAAGCAGTGGAAAAAGACCGGACGAAACAAGTAACAGTACCGGTAGCGTAAACTCACCTATTCAATCTAGCATTCATTTCCACACTGGAAACCAAGTCAGTTTAAAAGAAGACGCAGTTATACCATGGAAAACACAACAGAAAAGTAGTCCCAATGATGTCGCTAAACTTGTAAACCGAAAATCACTCTTGCCCAAAAACGACTCAATTGATAGCGAAGACGATTTTACAAGAAATGAAACTTCACATGTGAAAGAAAGACCTCAATCTTCGCTTTATCTCGGAGATTTCGACGAATCGTCCAGTTTCTACGATATATCGCAACAGCGAGATGGCCCCAAAAATAGTCCCAATGATGTGGCTAAACTTGTAAACCGAAAATCACTCTTGCCCAAAAACGACTCAATTGATAACAAAGACGATTTGACGAGAAATAAAACTTCACATGTGAAAGAAAGACCTCAATCTTCGCTTTATGTCGGAGATTTCGACGAATCGTCCAATTTCTACGATATATCGCACCAGCGAGATGGTCCCAAAAGCGTAAGTTTTAGTCGTTCAAGGTCCTACTCCCCAAAAAGTGAGAAGAAACGACAAAAAGCGCCGGTTCCCAAAGTAGTTAGAAGCATTGGACGAGCGTTTCAGAAGTTCACCGGTCGCACGAAGAGTCCAAAAAGTTATGACTTAAAACAAGATGGAATCCGAGTCTTGAACGTAAGAGCGAAACCTGGAAGTCCGATTTTAAGTGACAGAAAAAAGGAAGAAACATCACAAATGAAACTGCAACAAACGACCTCTTTTGACCTTGAACAATCTGCTGAGTTTCCGAAAGGCTCTTTCACGATTGAACAAGAATCTGTTCACCCTCCTGACGGATTTGCTAGCGACAGTCTTTCGGACGGTAGCGAGAAGGTTGCAAGTGCTGCTAAAAACAATGATACCAACTTTAGAATCAGCCAAGAGAATGATTTTAGAGCTCGAAATGATGGAAATGATAAAACAGATAGACCAAAAAAAGCTACCAAAAAGAAAGCACCAACATTGGCCCCGCCACCGCAGTACAGAAGTGAAGACTTAACTTCAGACGAATCAGATACTTCGTTTTTGGCCGAACCCGACCCGAAACCGCTTCCGCGAGCTCGAAAACCAGTTTTGCCAAGACCCGAATCCGACGAAAACGCAGATGCAAAAGGAGCGGAATTTAAGCAAGCTCAGAATAGATATGGACGTAGTTCAAATAATTATGATGAAGATGTTGTCCAAAGTTCAGTCCAAATGTCAAATTTATTGGAACATAGCGCACCGCCACCGCCTGGTTTTAACGATTCCTCTAACTTAGACGTCTCCAATTTTGACGAGCACGTTAAAGGTAACCTTGACGCGCCGAGTGTCCGTTCGTCAATTGCCGACGATGACGCAATCCGAGTCGGACTGAAAAAAGACGCCAAGTTTGCAGCAGCCAGCGACTCAGAAAACGAAACACAATCCGAAGCGATATCAATTTCAGCCGAGAGCTCCAATGATGAAATTTTAGAAAAAATTATTGATTTAAGTTCCGAAGGTGAAACAGATTGTTTTGACTACGCTATGCTTCATCCGCCTGCTAAAGAACCCATAAATTATGTAATTACACCAATGGTCATAACCGCTGCTGAAACTAATTATGTCGAATCATTTGAGCAAGACAGTCTAGACGACTTGACTTTTACAAGACCGACAGTTAGTGATGGTGCGATGCCGATATTTGCCGAGTTCACGAAAATAAAACGACTCACGCTGGCCGAAGAAGTGGAACCGATTTCTTCTGTGGTTCCGAGCGGGTTTGGCGATGATGATGTTTCAACGGAGGAACTTCCAGGATTCTTGCAGGAGCATCCGAGTTTCAGTTCAGGTGAAGATTCCGGGGAATTTGTTGTGAATGCAGAAGATGATATCGTCCCTTCGTCCGATGATTCGCTCATGCTAGACTCCAGTGATAGATTCTCGTACGATTTCAAGGTCACGGCCGAAGAATCAGATAATGATGTAACACATTCATTTTCCAATGCGGACCAAGATGATGCAATTGAACCGTCGTCGGCCAATGAAGATGAGGATGACATAACTTCTGTTACATCAACTCCATCCGTTACGAGCTACGATATCGAACACGAAGGTAAATTAGTATCACCTGAAGTACCCACTGATCCAACAGATATACAGGACAAAAAGTCCGTCTTATTCGTTTCTAGAACCCAAAAAGACAGTTCTTTTTTGGCTGCTGATGATCAATCAGAAACAATATCTGAAAGTGATCAATTTACTGAAGTAATTACTATGGAATCTCGTAGCCTTCAGAAGGCGAAAAATGAATTAAATGAAGACAATTCGGACCATCAATCTGCCTCAGCCGAGAGCCTCGTCGAGGCGCACATTCAGACTAGAGGAATCCATAAAACAATATCGTTCTTGGAAGTGCAAATTGAACCTGAGAATGTTCCAGAAGATTCTGGAAAGTTACAGTCTGCAAACATAGCTCTGGATAGCTCTCATGTTTCAACTGGAAGCCAAGTTGAACTTAGTAGCATAGATTCAGATGGCGCTGTGTATTTGGACCGAGTAAGTACCGAAAGTATCTTAGACGAGATCTTAACGTATCTCGGACCGGAAAAGACCGAAGACCTGTATCCGGACGATGCCGTGGATCCAAAGGAAATCGGATATCCGAAAGGAGCCGAAATCTTAGACAGTGACGAAGAGTGCATAAGAGTGAGTCATGAAAGCAGAGTTCTTCTCGCTCATAACAAGCAGATCAGTTTGTATTCTATCAAGGTATGTTCCAAACTGTTAAAAATGAGTGTTACTAATATCATGTCTATCGCGTGCAAACCATGTTTGTTTTACAATTTGACTCGCAGTGAATTGCTGTTGCTGACAAAAAATAAATTGGTTTAAAAAAATGTTTGTCACGTTTTTGGTGATTTTAACTTTTAACTGAGGAATCCACTCGTGTATTGACTTTGAATGAAGTGCTTTTTCATAGTAGCTCTTTTCAAGTTACTAATGGTGGTCTTTTTGAAGTAATGTGCAGCTATTGTTGTTGACCACAAATCAAATTTTAAGCGGTTGGTATCGCATTGAAGCGGCTGACACATGATAATAAATTAAGTCTCGTCAATTGCTTAACATTTTCTTCAGTTTTTCACACAATGTAACAGTTTTTGTACACTTCATTATGCGACTAAGCACGATTGTTCTTTTTTGTGTTTTTTTTGAGATAATTTTTAGAAACTATATCAGCTCAGCGTTGTTGCTATTCTGATGAGTCGTTATCGCCACATTTTCATAATATCAAGTCAAATCGGCAACTATTAGATTTATGATAAGCAGTCAATAAATCAGTAATCGGCCGTGAATTAGACATTATGTAGAATTATCACCTAAATATTAAATTTTTGGTTAGAAAACATGTCAAATATAATTTTCGGCTGAATTTTACTTCGGTTTGCTGTACTCGCTTATTATTTTTACAAACTGCAGATATATGATTTCTATTTGCAGACATCAGGCTCAATCAGTGACCACGAAACCGAAGACTCGTGGACCGAAACAAGCGAGGGAAGTCAAGTGAGAGAGCGAAATATCCGGACCAAAACTAAACCAGTTCCAGACACTTTCGCTCCAGCAGAGTCGCTTCTCAACAACCTCGGACAGGAGAAGCCGTTTGAACCAATCAAGAAAACTGAAGATTTAAATCAACCGGATTCATTGGATGATTCGACATTGGATAGATCGGTACGTTTTATTTAATTTTTAAGACTGAAAACAGAAATTTGATAATCCAAAAATTGATAATTTTATCAGCATTATGATCGTCAAAACAGTACCTTTGTTCAAACGCAAATCGCAACGTTAAAATTTTTTGGAACTCTCACCCAGAACAAAGATTCCAATTTGGGTATAACTGCGCGCAGCCGGATGAAGCTTTGAAGGTTTTATGTGGTATCAAATACATTTCGTTTTTGTAAAAGTTTTTGTAAAATGCTCATTTTTTTCGACAATCTGCGTCTCTCCACCTGTAGTGTTTTACTAGTGAGAGTTATATAGTTTGCATCTAAAAACGCATTATTTGTACCCATTAGATTCTGTCAATAAGTTTGGAAGACTTTCAGCCGGACCGATTAGCAGTTTTCGCAAATTTACACAAGCAGCTTGTGTTTTAGTACCAGGCAACTTAGTTTTCATTAAAAATTGAACCTTTCAAAGCGGAGTTTTCTTTATTTATGGGTTCTAAGGGAGTGCCTTTCTTTTTCTTTCTATCAATTTTTTATGCAATCACACGCCATTATCAAGACTTCATTAATCAACTAAGTGGCCTATTATTAGATGTGGTGAATTTGGTGGTGCAGAATTAATTTTGCTTGATACTTAAAAAATCAGCTTCTAACCAGCAAATAGCTTGTCTGAAGTGTGTGTTTTTTGCCGCTAGTTTTTATTGAGATAATTTTCGATTTTTTAATTAGGCTTTTTTGGTGGAACTTTTTCTACCCTCTGAAAAACCCACAAATCAAAGCCTTGAGGTCAACTTTAAAAAGATATTGCATCTGTGATTATGTTAGTGAAGTTTTGAATTTTTTTGAAGTTTGAAATTTTTCGACAGATTTTCCAACGTGATACGAGCAGTCTTTTTGTTTTCGAATATCGAAGAAATGACAATGTATAGGGGTGGTTTTTTCTGGATGCGAAATTCGAACGTTTTATTAGCCGATTTTGACGGACTTTTTTACTGTCCAAAAGCTGTTGACTCAAATTAAAAAGGTATTTGAAAATTGCTAATTTGGGATATTGAATCTGCGGGAAAAATCCGATTTTCTTTCAATGCGTTGTGTAGGTGACCAAATGTGTACGGCTCGATAATTATTCCAAATTGCATTGAGGGATGCTAATTGATAAATTTATATCGTTTAGAATTGATTAATTTAAAGTTTTGTACTTGACATAGAGTTTGGAGGGAAGGATTTTCAAAAAGTCAAGTCAATTAGAAAATTCTCTAAACTTGATCTTTGTATTGCCCAAAACTAATTTACGCATTTACAAGAGCAGTCAGAAAAATTAGAACTTTGTTTTTCTGATCTCTCATGGAGTGAATTGATGGAAGTATGGCGTAGGGTGTTTTTTTTCTGTCCATTTGTTGGTCACTCAAGGAAAGCTCGTAGTAGGCCAAGTGTGGTCATCATGCTAAAGTTTTCTAGCCGTGACTTGGTTTCCCAAAAATCCAAAAAAAAATTGTCTCAATTTTCAGACTAATTTAGGCAATGTAATCATGACATCAGATTGGATGCGACCTCCAAATTATTAATTTTACTGCAATGTTATCTTTATTTCAGCTATTGCTAACAATCATTCTTGCATTTGTGTTGCCTTATTTACTCGCCCTTTTTGAAAAAAAAAAATACAAAAAAATCAGAAAAAAATAAGGCAACAAAATATAAAAAAAAAGTGAACTATGACACGCTCAACTTGACCTTAACCAATACTTTTGCCCTCTGAACCAATCACCAACTGAGCACTTTATTCGAGATTATTGAGTGATCTTTTTTTGAATGACTCGCTAAACGATTTGATTTGTTTCAGATCGCCGACTCCAATTTAGATACTTCAGCCGACCCTATCAGCGAGGATTCAATTGAGACTGAAGAGCGGAAATTAGACCAGGCCAATCCAGACGAGAGTTTAGACAGTATGTTGAGCAGATTGTTGGCTCTTCAGAGAGAGGATTTGGATACCCTGAAGGCAGAAAGAGAGGGGGAGGGGGAGAAAACTGAGACGACTGGGCCGATAAACGGCAAGAAAGAGGTTTGTGTGTTGATGCTCGCATAAGAACACGATGAAAGTTTGAGCAGACAAAGTAATTCAGAAAGAGAATTGGAATACTTTCATACTTTTTCTGCTTAAAAATTTTCAAATGCGCGTTTTCAGCAATAATTTTCATGTACCCATTTCACAAAACAAATGGATGTTGCTGGAGTTTTTGCTGCTCATATTTCAATTTTGCAGCCCGAAATTGTCTTCAATCGTGTCATCTGAAGAATAGCCCTGATTTTTGAGTTTTAGACGTCTAGATGGCGTTTTTTGATCTAAACTGTATTTGATTTATTGGTGATGTTTTTTTTCTGAAAGTTAAAGAACGAATTGAAAAATTGCCGTTAAAGTTGCAGCCTCCTCTCCTCTCATCTACACATGTCGGCATTTTTCTAAATTTTTTTGAGCTCCAGCTTTGCCAAACTTAACTCTCGGCTAATTTAGGATCAGAACAAAGACGCTGAACTTGAGTTTGAGCGAGATTCGAGCTCGGCATCTAGTGACCGAGAGAAAGATACAGCGGAAAATAGAATGACGGGAGCAATGGATGAATCCAATTCTGGTATCGAAATAGTAAGTGAATAATCTTTGTAAGTTTAATTGAATGAGAACAATGAACGTAGTGAGTACCCTTATATAATAGGTCTTGGTGATTTTTTTCCAGGAAAAGTCTTAAAATTTTTTCACGTGCAATTTTGATTTTTCGCGGTTTGAGATCTGATTTTTTTTTTCAAGTTCACCTTATTTCATTTGTTAAAAGGAAGGCAAACTCCACTATTGAGCAGCGAAAATGTAAAAGTCACGAAAAACGTGATCGACTTCTGGTTTCCAAAATGGAATTTAATTATCAGATTTCCCAGCGAATTAAAAATTTTACATATTAATCCAGTTTTCTCAAATCGGGTTAATTTATTCAAAAAAGCACCAATCATAAATTATTTGTGAAATTCGAAGAACTTTAAGGGCATATATTTGTCCTTTAAAATTCTAAAAGTGAAGATTAAAAATGAAGGAGGTTTAATATACAATACTCTGTCATCGTCGGAAATCAATGTTGTGCCATTTTTCCAGGTGCGGTGAGAAAATTTTGCCAAAAATTAGTCTTTTTAGTTATAACGAGAGCCCTGAAATTCAATTGAGTAGATCTAAAAAAAAACAAAAACAATCGTTATCACAAAAGTTATTATCTCATGTTTAGATTGAGACGCCAGGTGGTGAGCAAACTCTAGATTCTGATTACACCACAGCCACTGAAGATGATGAAGATGAAGAGCAATTGAGTGGAACAGCTGGTGACAAGCTGGATTCCACTTTGGAGGGGGAGACGAAAGACAACGAGAAAGAAGAAAAAATTAAACCCAACAATGAGGCTGAAAACGAGCAGTTGCAGTCGGCAGTTGTTGCTGACTTTGTAAGTTCAGATTCAATGAGGTTAAACTTGATAGCATTTTGGTATTCAGGGAAACAGTTGATCAAATTCAACTATAGTTTACTGCTGTCGTTCATGGTGCTCTTAGCTTAAGGTTTTTTGCGTGTTTTGATTTTATCCTTGAAATTATCCAAAACGTGACTCAAAATCTCTAAATCAGCATTTAATTTGAATGTCAATTTTCCAATAAGTTTTTGTTTAAAAAAGTCTTTCAGAATATCCAAAATTAAAAAAAATCCGATTTACTGGAAAATTGTTTGAATAAATTGAAGGAGAGTAATTTTTTTAAAGGTTTTGTTATTTTTTATGTTATGTGTTCAGAACTCCGACGACATTCAGACCACCAAAGCAAGGCCCTTGTCTATTGTGACTACATCTGAGAGCGAGTTTACAGAGCAGAATGAACTCGAAATAGAAAATGCTCAACAGGTTGGTAACTGAAATATCTCAGGTGTGTGGTTTCGGATTTTATAGTGAAATGCAAAATTGTTGGTAATATCCATTTCGGTCATCAAATCTGATCAAGTTTTGTCGTCAAAAATCATTTTTTCTCTCATTTAAGCCGGTCCAACCGTGTCAAAATATTTAATTGAAAAAACAGTTTTCGACCGATTAAGTGTTCTATGTCAGCAGTATTGAGAACAATTTGGCATTATCTTCGAATGAGTGTGGCTTGCAGTATCGTATTTATGGGGCGCGCAGGGCAATGCTCCGCCCCCCCCCCCCCCCATCCCCTCAGATATTTGAATCCTGGTCATAAAAATCGTCATACTTGTGCTACTATTTTGCATTCAACGACCGTTTGTGGTCAAACAGCCCTGAATTTTTCTACAAAAATGCCCTCGGTGCCAATATATTCTAGCGCGCGCCAAAAAACGCGAATTTTCCTAAACGGCGCCTGCTGCGCCGATATTTTGGGACAAACAAAGTTTTTTTTATAATTATTTTGGAGTGCTCGGAAAGTCAATTTGGTCGACCTTTAAAAAAGAAAGTAGAACGACCTTTTTTTTGAAAGACGACTGGACTCCTGTTTTGAAAGTCGGTCAAATCATTTTAAACATACTATGAGAACTGACTGCCAACCAAATGATTCAAACATCTGTTTGTTTAATATGTCACGGCGTTACTAAAATGAAGTTTGATTTCAGGGTGAGCCTGAGTTGGAAAGATCCTTCACCAAAGCTAGACCTCTCTCTGTTGGTGATTCATCCGATAGTGGAGACGAAAGTGAGCAGGAACAGAAACAGGGGGCAGAATCGACCGAATTTGTTAGTTAAAATAACCAAAAGTAACCGAAAAAAAAGAACCAAAACAATTGGGGGCGCTGTTAAAACTACTTACTTAACAATTCAAAAGAAATTGTTCTGAAGATGTAATACTGTGGAAAAAAAAAACAGTTAAGAACCCAAATCACGGATTCTAAATTGATTTCATGGGACTCACGACAGCGCATAAGTATGATAACATAATTGACCAGGTAGTCAAAATAGTTTCTTCGGGGTAGTCAAAATACGTCAGAAAAAAACGCACCCTACACTTTTCCACTTCCTGATGTAGACGAAACAAAAATTCTAATTTAGTTGGCTTCTTTTCTTCCACCGAACACCGAAATTGAAAAAAAATTAAAATTGTTTGTTTTTTTTACGCCAATTCACAAAATTCTTCGGTCCGTTATTTGAGCTGCATCAAAAATTGGAAACATTTCAGTGTTGAGAAAACTGAGCTTACAGTAGTAGAGTTTTATTTTTTTCTCGTTTTTTTTTATTTTTGTGATTGTCGTTTGAATAATTATGCAGAGCGGTTTCAATATATTTGATTTTCTTTTCTTTACACTAGCGTCAGTCTACTTTTTTTCTAAGCTTAGTTAGAAAATATGTAATACCAAGTTAGGAAATGCAAATATTAATTCCACTTTTGGGGCACTTTTAACATTTTTTGATAGCATGTGCTTTGACATTCGACTAGTAATAAGTTAACACAGTTGATGCATTTCAAATTCATCAAATGAATCGAAAAAAGCTCTTTGTTTGAAACAACATAAATTTATATGGCTTTATGCTTTCCGATTTGTTACATAAAAAGGTAGTGTGGATGCCTTCAGTTTGTTATATTCCAAATTATTACTTGCAAAATTGTGTCTATTTTTTTGGTGCCACTTTTGCTGAATGGCATTGGCAATTCATTAGCATATCTAGCTGCTTTACTTGTGACTAGTGTTTGCCGATGATTAAGCGTGCGAAGCTGAGTGGTTAGTGCGTGAAACTCAAAATCTCTATATTGCACTAGGTCATAGATGGATTCCTAGACCTAGCTGAATATGTACTAGTTCGAGGCTTATTTATATTTTATTGCACTTTCTAGAGCTGCTTTTTCTCGTGTTCTCGCTAGTGTTTGCGAAGCGAAACTTCAAGCTTCGTCTTTGTGTTGAAAATATTTGCGATACATTTTGTAAAACAGTTTTTATCATTTCCCCTAGTTTTTCCCAGCTAAGTCTGCTTTGTAGCCTGAACTGTATTCAGAACACTGTGTGCTACTTGCACAGCGAACTGCAGTAGCTACTTTTAATGAAGTCGAACTATGAAAAAAACTGAAGAGTAACTTGTTTCTGTGCGAGTGGCGGAGAAAGTTTAGTGAACTGTTGACAAATTGAAAACATTTATGGCATAGCCTACATTCTGATTGAAGCAGTCCAATCAGTTGCCAACGGATATTTATTATGCATGTCTGCATTTTAAATTGCCGCTTTGTTCGATTTTTTTTTGATTTGATGTAAATCAAACTCTGTTTAAATAGTTTTAACTTATAAAACAATGAATAACTTCACTACCTCAAAAAAGCTTGTAGGGGTCAAACGAGGTATTATTTTAAAGCCCTTCAGCCGATTTCTAAAACATTTTAAAAGGTTGGTTTGGTTTTACGAAAGGGGAGAAAGGGGATTCGAATTCTGGAACAAAAATTAAAACAAATTGTCTCAGCGTCGGTCGAGAAAAACTGGTCTTGATATTTGTTTTGTTTCACAGACTGAGAATCAGTTAAAATTAGACATCATTTTGAAAAATCACATAACATTTTGGTTCGAATTTCAGTCTTTTATTTCAGTGTGAAAAGTATTGAGTGTGAAAAAAAAAGATTCAAACCAATTTGTGTCGACTATCAAATTTTTTAAATTGATTTTCTCAAATTCGAATAACGGCTGAGAGGGCTTACATATAATACCACATTTTTGAAACCGGCTAAAAAACAGATCTTACAATTTAAAGCATTAATAGCCTTATCAATAACATATTCTTATCTTCTGAATTTTAGAACCCAGACGAAGTTGAGACGACTACGGCAAGACCACTGTCTCTAGCTACTACTTCAGAGAGTGAATTGGCAGAACCAAGTGAAACAAATCTTATCATCACAGAAAGCACCCAGCAGGTAAACAATTTTCAAAATAAATCTTTCAAACAATGACGATAACGATTGTGTAAATTTCTATGTGATAACACGTGATTAAGATTCGATGAAAGCAGTGAAGACTCTTATATAGGACTTGGTGATTTTTTTGTGTCTTTTTTCAGGAAAAACTTTTAAAATGCTCTTTGAATGCTCTTGGGTATATATGCACTTTTTGAGTTCAATTCAAGTTCATCTGCTGAAAGTTAGGTAAATAGCACTTTACAAATACGAAAGTGAAAATGGCGCAAAAAACGTGAACGACTTCTAGTTTCGAAAGTGGAATTTAAATTTTAAAATTGCCAGCGGAATCAAAACTTTACCTATTGATCCAACTCCTTAAATTTAGTTAATTTTATCAAAAAGTGTTAATCGTAAATTTGTCTTGAAATTCAAAGAGAGTTAAGTTCATATATTTTATACTTCGAAATTCGAAAAATTTAAAAATAATAATAAATCTGCCTTTTTTCCGTTTCTTTGCGTTCATTTGACTTTTCCAATTGCATGTTGGCTATGATTTAAGGCATTGGTGCTCTTGGTTTTACATTTTTGTAATAGTTTAAGGAGCAGTCAAAACGCGGAAAAAATTGTAGTTTAAAGAAGAATATTTTCTTTGTTTTTCTTGGTACTCGTTTAGAAGTATGGTCCCACCGTTTTTGATGAGTCACATTCAAAAGCTCGTTTAGAAGTGTGGTCCCGCCGATCCTATTGAAGTACTTCAAGTGGATGAAAACAAAAGGAAAATTGTAAAGATTTCTTCGATAGATTTGCCTATAAATTTCTTAAAATGGAATTATCGAAATTGTCAATTCACTGGCAAAACTCAATTCACTGGCGAAACTACCTTTAAAATTTTTTGTTTGATTTTTATATGTGATCATTGGTATGTTTACGGGACCGTACTTCTAAACGAGGTTTTGAATGGGACCATACTCCTAAACGAGTTTCCATTTCTTAATCATTTAACTACACTCTTATATACATTCACAAAAAAAAATCAAATTTCATAATTCAAGTCTCATATAGAAGTTACTTGTCTAGAGTCAAGAAGAAGAACATTTCAAGAAAGCTCTTCCTGTCTCCGCCGAGGTCAGCGAAGAAGAATCTGAGGACATAGGTCAAAAATCAGCGGAGGAATCCGTTGAGAACTCAACTGGCCTCCAACTCCAAACTGAATCACAAACAGTAACCGAGACGAACGCTTACAGCAACTCGGACGAAACGACGGTTCAAACAGTAAAACCGAGACAAACAGCCGAAGATACTGAGTACTCGTCGTTGGACCGATTGGAGGGAAATTTTGAAATCGAAGCAGATGAGTCAATTTCGACCAATCAGGATACGTTTGAAGTCATCAGTCGGCAATCAGAGGATGAAGCAAGTGAGAAAAAGGACGACTCAGATTCCGAGAGGACATTAAGCGACTCGGACGAAGAGGTGAATGCCTCACCGGCTAATAAAGTTATGTCATCGAGTGCGGTTTTGAGTTATGATGACGTAAGCGAACCAATGGAACTTTCCGTGATCCGCGAGGAGCCTTCGGTTTTGGAGTCGGATGACACAGAACCAATTTCAACTGCAGCGACGGCAATGAGTTTAATGAGACATCAAAGCTTTGACGCTGTTAAAGAAGAAATAGAGGCAGAAACTTCTGCTAAAACGCCATTGGCTGACGAGAACATCCAGGAACATGACGTCATCAATGGCACTTTCAGTGTTGAAGAAAAGGCGAACGATACGAAATCTTCGTGGGAAACAGATTCTGAAGGTGTAAAATCAGCCGATAGCTCTTTTCAGGATATTGAAAATAAAAATAAATCAAACAGCGGGGTTGATGAGGATAATATACCCGTTGCTATTGATTCAACAGCTAAACGGTTGGAGTCGGGTGTCAAAATAGACGGTATGAATGAACAAAACATTTCGCGAGAATCAGCTGATATTTTGAAAGAATCGGTTGAAAAAGTTGAACAAAGTTTTGAAAAGCATGAAAATGAAGTTGACATAGAAAGTGATTCCGATGCCTCTGATTCGACGTTCGAAGGCGATGAAATCATAAATACTTCTGAAGTGAAGCAAGAAACAAGTTTCGAAAACAGCAACCAAGAAGACATCGAGAATAAATTTGATGTTTCTAACCAATCAGAAACAAGCTCTATCGAACAAGCGGCTGAGAACGAGCATCTAATTGGTACAAACGTTGAACAAATTGCAACTTATGCCGAAAAGGAAGATCGGCTAAGATCTGTGAATGAAAGTGAAAAGAACAACAAACAACAAGAAAAAGAAGATTCATTTGTTCAAATCTCGCTTCAAAGGTCAAGTGACATGCGAAGTGAAGACGATAGAAGCGTCTCAGAAAAACAAGATGCGGAAGTAAAAGAAGATATTGAAGTCAACAACGAAAAAGATTTAACTGATATTTCAACTATTAATGACGACAAAAGCGAAAAGATTAAATCAAATGTTGAAAACTCAGAAGGCATTGAAAAAATTTCAAAATCGGGTGATTCATCATATACAACTGATTCGACCTTTTCCGAGGAAGAAAAATTTGAGTTCGTTTCACCTGACTCTAGAAACGTGCAAATTGAGAACTTGATTACAGAACAACTGAAAGCTGATTCTGTTAAAAATGCACCCGAAACAAAACTGGATTCCGATGATTCGAACGAAGAATTTGAAAAAGACCAGAACACGCAAATTCCAGTTCAGTCTGATGTACTGCATGCTACCGAGGATTCTGCAGACGATCACATTCATCAATCCAGAGAAGCAAATTCAACTTTTGAATCGGAATCGAACACGCCGGATCAATGTGTTGAATTCAATTTGGTACAGAACACAAAACAAGAGAGTGAAGATGAAAAATCCAAATCGAGTCATGCTAAAGATGTCGAAGATTCTTCAGATGAATCGGAAGACGGACTCCTAGGAGCAGCAGTTGTTCCAGTTTCTGAAATGAACAAGAGTAACGATAGCACTGAAACTCACGATGACATGAAAGAGAGATCTGAGGACCAATTGGATTCCACTTTTGAGTCAGAGGTTGGAGATGAATTTAAAGAAGCAGTTGTTTCCGTTTTAGAGCCTGAAAAGAGCAACGAAGCTGACAAAAAGTTGGAATCGTCTGTTAATTCGGAGCTAGAAGTTTTGAGGGAAGTGGTGAAAACAGTTGAAGTAATCAACGTATCCAATGAAATTGCCAAAGATCTTAAAGAGTTGTCTGAAAACGAAGAATCAAATTTTTCCAACGATGAAGAATTTGGGAATCTCAATGCTTTGTCTGCTGTTGAAAGATCAGATAATAAAGACGATCTTTCAGAAAAGACGAACATCGACAAACCAAACGTGGAACCTAGTTCTGACTCTGAAAATAAAGGAGATACTAGCAACGAAGACCTAATAAGAGAGCAATTGAAAGTTGATTCTGTTATAAGTGCATCCGAAACAAAGTTGGATTCCGAGAAAGATTCCGATGATTCGAACGAAGAATTTGAAAAAGACCAGAAGACGCAAAAGAACAAATTCCAAATTCCAGTTCAGTCTGATGTACTGCATGCTACCGAGGATTCTGCAAACGATCACATTCATCAATCCAGAGAAGCAAATTCAACTTTTGAATCGGAATCGAACACGTCGGATCAATGTGTTGAATTCAATTTGGTACAGAACACAAAACAAGAGAGTAAAGATGAAAAATCCAAGTCGAGTCATGCTAAAGATGTCGAAGATTCTTCAGATGAATCGGAAGACGGACTCCTAGGAGCTGCTGTTGTTCCAGTTTCTGAAATGAACAAGAGTAACGATAGCACTGAAACTCACGATGACATCAAAGAGAGATCTGAGGACCAATTGGATTCCACTTTTGAGTCAGAGGTTGGAGATGAATTTAAAGAAGCAGTTGTTTCCGTTTTAGAGCCTGAAAAGAGCAACGAAGCTGACAAAAAGTTGGAATCGTCTGTTAATTCGGAGGTAGAAGTTTTGAGGGAAGTGGTGAAAACAGTTAAAGTAATCAACGTGTCCGATGAAATTGGCAAGGATCTTAAAGAGTCGTCTGAAAACGAAGAAGCAAATTCTTCCAACGATGAAAAATTTGGGGATCTCAATGCTTTGTCTGCTGTTGAAAGATCAGATAATGAAGATGATCTTTCAGACATGGTGAACATAAATAAATCAAACGTGGAAGCTAGTTCTGACTCTGAAAACAAAGTAGATGTTAGCAAAGAAGACTCTCGTGAAGAAATCAGCGACTCTGAAAAGCCCAGTTTGGAACCTGATATGCCTTATGTAAACGTATCATTCAATAAGGATTCCTCGAACGATATAAGTGAAGATAAAGTCAATTCTTCAAACGAAACTGAACCTGGTGTATTAAGCGCAGATGCTGCTCCAATTGATCAAATGAACAGAAGTGACGAAATATCAGACAAAAATGATGAATTGAATCGCAGCAAAGATTTTGATTCTTTTGTAGATAGCGAGAAAAACGTACCCGAAGAAATGCCCATTAAGCCTGAAGACAACGGAGCAATTACGGAGGCTGTTATTGCCAATTCTGACTTCGCTAAAAGCAGGGAATCTGAATCATTAGCTGAAAGTGAAGATGATCTTTTAAAGAATGCAGTTGTCCCAGTGGAAGAAACAAACGCCAGTGATCTGGTTTCTCAAAAATCCAAAGACGTTGCCTCGTTAAAAGAATCCGATCTGATTGAAAACGAGCAAGCTTCAATTGATAAACATCTTGAATTAAAGAAAACGCCAGAACAACTTAGCGATGAAGAGAACTCGGACCTTATTCACGTCAACAAATCTGGTTTAGCGATGGAATCGGAAAATGAAGGCTGGAAAACAGCCACTCTGTCAGATGAAGATGATGATGTTCAAAATTTGAGCACACCTACCAATCAAAATCAAGAAGCTGAAAACAACCAGAAGAAAGAACTTGATTCATCAGTCGAATCAGAAGATGGTGTCCTAAAAGAAGCAAATGCTCCGACAAACGTGCTGAATCAAATGAATCAAAGCAAAGAAGCTGCCAGCAATAATCAAAGCAATGACTATGATTCTACTTTTGAATCTGACAGCGACGGAGAACTGAAACATGCGGCTGTGCCTGCTACTGAACTAGATACGAGCTTTAGAGTCGAGGAAGATGACGATCATTTAAAATCTGGCAGGCATTTGGAGTCTCCTATTGAGTCGGAAGATGATATCTTACACCATGCAGTTGTACCTGTCGAAGAAGCAAATGGATCTCTAGGTTCCAATGAAATAGAAGCTGGTTCGAAGGGTCAGAAACAGTTGGAATATTCAGTTGATTCAGATCAACAAGAATCTGATAGTTTGAAAGTTCAACTCGAAGACAACAAAGCGATCAAAGAAACTGCCATTGGTACGCTAGACTTCGAAAAACACGAAGAGTCTGACTCATCAATAAAGCGAGAATATGAAAATTTTAAAATCACAGATGATGATATTGTAATAGATGACGCAAAAGGTATCATCAAACATCAAGGTGTTCACCAAGAAAGTGATTCATCTTCTGATGAAGAAAAACAAGATCAAGGCAGTGAAAAAGATCTTTCGGATATGGTCAATATAAACAAATCTGATTTTACTGCGGACTCTGAGAGAGATGTTTCCAAACCAGACTCCGTTTCGAAAGACAAGAAAGAAGTTGAAAATGCAGATGATACGCTGGAACCCAATGATAGAAGAGAAATGAGTTCTGCTTCTGGAGAAAAATCGATGAATCGTAGCAAAGATGTCGAGAGGTCTTTGGGACCGGAGCCACTTGTTGTACCAATAGTACAAAATACAGAATTCAAAGATTTAAAACAAGATGAGATTCAAGTTGCCCCTGAAAATATTGAAAACAATTTGGAGTCGAAATTGGAACAAGAAATTGAAGACGACTCAAACGATTCGGAAAAAGATCAGCTTAAAATGGCAGTTGTTCCGGTCGAAGAATCGAACCAATCCAAGAACAATGAAGAAGGAAATCGTCATCAAAATATCGAGCAAACTGAAACTAGTATTCCAGTTGTCAAATCAGTTGACCAACTCAAACTTAAAATGCACAAGCAAAACAAAGTTGAGTCATTAGAAAAATCCAGTGACTTGGCAGACGATAAATCTAGGAAAGAAGATGAAAGTTTTCTAATAGACGGTGATGGCCTTGAAATACAGAGTGGGTCTAGTATGAACTTACAGAAGTCAAGTGAGCATCCAACTCTGGATATGAATGAATCGGCGTCTGACTTTGTACCAGAACTGGAAGCTTTTAACTCAAGTCCGATCGACAAAAAGTCATTCAACTTTGAAAGTCTTCCTGACAATCAAAACCTTTTTGATGAAAAACCAAGTGAGCTTAAACCAGAAGGAAAACCAGAAGAAAGTGTCGACGATGGTTTGGAAAGCGAAGAAGAAGAACGCGTAAAACTAGAAGAAAATGCGAAGGTCTCGGAAAACAACGAAGAAGAAGTTAATGCATCTGGAGAACTGACAAAAGAATCGAAGGACAAAATGTCAGTTTCATATGAAACATCGTCTGATAAATTGAAAACTGTGTCTGACATCAGTGGTCTAATTACGCTCTCAGATGCTGAAAATGTTTCGGCCGAAAAATTAGATGAGGAAATTCTCGATCAATCTAAAGAAAAAGCGGTTTCAGCGTTGATCGAAAAAGACAAACAAGAAAACGAAAAATTGGCAGTCGATTTTCAAAACGAAGTATCAAAAGAAAGAAAAGAGGATGAAGAATTAGAAAAGAAGGAAGAATTACACAAAGATCAATTTGTTTCAGAAGACATTAATTACAGTGACAAGTCATCAATTGTTGAGATTGACTATTTGAAGGATCCGAAAGACTCGGATCACGAGAAGACGCTTGATGAATCAGATTCCGAGGATGACAGTGAAACTGAGCGTGAAGAGAAAATAGCGACAGTCAAGGAGTCGCCACCTCGTGATGGAGGTGAAAATGTCGTGAACATTGGTCAGAAATTAACTGAAAGTGAATTGAGCGCTGAAAATGAATTCGAAAATCCTCAAAATACAAGTGCAGATGAAAGAATTGAAAAAGTCGAGAGTGATTTGACCGGTTCAAGTGATGATGAAGATGACGATGAAGATGATAAGTCTTCAGAAAAACTTGAAATATTATCAGAAAAGGAACCAAGTTCTGACAATGAAACAAAATCAGAACAAGCACATGATAAGATAGTTGAGTCTTTTAAAACAGCAGCTGAAGAAACAACGGAGAAACTAGATGAAGTAAAGGATGCCGGAATCCCATCAGAAGAACCAATTAGGACGGACAATCAAGTTGAACCTAATTTGGAAAGTGTTCCTAAGTTTGTACCAGAGCAGGTTCCAGTCTCTCTGCGTGCAAGTGAGACCAAGCAAATCGAGCCAATCGAAAAGAAAACTGGCGAAAACAAATCACAATCAGAATCAGAAGAATCATTAGATGTTAATGAAGCTCAGAAAACCGAAAAGAGTGTGCTCGTTGAAGATCATCACATATCAGATTTAGTCGACAATTTGGTCGAAGATCAAAGTGAGAACAAAGACGAAGCCGAGCTGAACGAAGTTGGCGAGCAAAGTCCAGATGAGTCATCTTTGACATCTTACGAGGAGGTTTCAATCAATTCCTCAGAAGACGAACAGCAAATTGAAGAGCAACAGTTTGATACTGAAAAGAAACTGATACCAGTTACTGACAAGACGGAAATTGGCGACCAGATTGAAGAAGAATTACGGAAAGAAAATGTCAAAATTGAGATTAAAGATCAGAAAACTCTTTACCAGAATCAAGGATCACTTGATGATAATCTAACAGAAAGTGAATGGTCGGCAAACGACAACGATGAAGCCAAAAATGTCAAATATCTGGAAGACGAGTTAGAGAGAGCAGGTCTTTCGCCTCAGAAATCATGGACAGAAGAAATGAGCGCTGCGAGCAAAGATGGCAGAGTCCAAGACATAAGGCGTGATTCGATTCCCGAAATCCGAGACGAGGACAAATCAGACGCTAGCTCTGATCTAGAAACTGAATCCGAGAGAGAAAAAGAGTTGCCACAGTTCCCGAGGTCAATTTTCAGTTTCCGACCGCAAAACGACGATGTGTTGTCGAAGAGTTCAGACGGGGAAATGTTTATAACCCAACCAAATACCGAGAGACAACTTGAATCGAAACCGGTTGAGTCGGACGATGATTTTGAAACAGATGCAATCAATATTTCCCTAAAACATGGAGATGAGCAAAAACTGTTTGACTCGGCTTCCGATTTAACCCCCGTTAGCCCAAGAGAAGTCGGCACCCAGTCGTGCTCAGTCGCAGTTACCGAGAAGCTACTCTCGGATCCAATAAACTCCAAAGTGAATTCGGTTCTTGCTCTGGACGAAGAACGACCGACTGATAATGTAAGTCTGCACCGAGTTGATTCGTGGACATCCGAGTCAGTTGCTTGTCCTGAAGCAAAGGAAGCTGAACGTAGTCCGAAGTTTATTGCTGAGTTGGTTCCCAGAGACGAAGTGTTTGAGTTCCCAGAACAGCAGATTGAAGATGAAGATAGCAAACCTAACGCTATTGAACTAGTAGAGTCAGCTTTGAACTCAATTCCTGAAGTTGAAATTCCTCAGAGTCTTGAATCGAATAATCGAGACAATCATTTCAAAAACTTCGATTGGAGAAACTTCGAACTACCTTCCCCTACTCTTACAAGGTCAAATATGTTCGATTTCTCGAAATCGCCTCAGAATAACAAAGAATCAGAAAATCAAGACATCGAATTGCAGCAAAATAATTTGTCATCGGAACAAATTGATGAAATGCTAAACACGCCCGTTCAAGATCTGATTAAACGATTTGAGACCTCAAAATTGAAAGCTAGCGATGAACCTAGGATAAAAGAAGCACCGCCGGTGAGGAGTAAGTTCTCCACAACTGCCATCATAGTTCCCCCCGAGCGTAACGAGAAGCCAAAGGAACCGGAAAGAGTCCAGAAGTCCCAACCAGAACCCGAAGATGAAGTCGTGCCGATCTCGTCGAGAGGCGTGAACTCAGAACCAGCGAGAGACGACAGTTTCGACGAAAGTGCTCTTCCCGAAATGCCCGATGTGTACAAGATAGCAGAGCGAGTACTGCGGGAGGCACAGGAAGTAGCGAGGGAATCGAGGCTGAATGTGAACAACATGCCTGTTTACGAATTGGGGGTAAATATTTTATATATTCAACTCTGCGAATTTGATATTCACGAGTTTTAGAGATTGAAATGGATTTTTTGGATTTTTTTGGAAATGATTGATAATAGCGCCTTGAATTTTTTTTTAGAATTCCTATGAACTCATAACTCGCTCATATAGTTTTCAAACCGATATTCTCATAGAAAGTTAGAACGGAGACTTTTGCAACCTTAAGAATTCTGCTTCTGTCAATCCTTCGCGCAGACAAAAGTTTATCCTTCCGAAATGCAGAACAGAATTTACCAAAAAGAGCATTGCCTACCAAGGAGCTGTTATTTGGAATTCACTGCCTGTTCTCTTAACAGATATTATTGATTTTACGCTGTTTAAACGAACCCTGAAAACTGTTTTATTCTGTGAGGCTTTGTGAGCCTTCTACCACTCTTGTGTTCAAGAAAGAGTGGCAAAGCCAATCATCATCATCATCATCATCATTAAATTTTCAGAGCCCGTCAAGTGAACAAGACTCTTCACTTCACGATGAGTCTGCTTCGAGAGGCAGTCGGCAAAGTGAACCAACTCATGTGCATTTGAGTGGACCGTGTGTGATGCCTATTTATACTCAATTAGGCGAAATGGTCGCCAAAGCGAAAGCTCATCTGCAGGCAGTTGAAAGACGGGTAAGATTATTTTGAAATGCAAATCTTTTTATCTGGGTTAGTGCTCTTTACCTTAAAAAATGTTCATAGATCATAAAATGTTTCAAGAAAAATCTACTGAAAAATAAAGATTTCTACTATTTTTTGTACTAATCTCAGTTTCAAGTTCTTCTCAAAATTGATATATTGTTTTTATCGAAATAACCAACAATTTGAACTCGAGCTTACTTATATAGTATTCAACGTAAAGTTAAAGCTATATTCACTTGTTTCAAAATTTCCCATCATGTTTTTTCTTTATTCCAGTTGGACGACCAGGTCGGGTACAGACGAAGCACTACCTCACGAAGCGCAGACATTTCATTCTCCAGCATCAGCGTGCACTCCACACATGTCGAAGATACAAATGTAAGTTATTTGTCCAGACAATTCCCCTAAAGGAGTGGGAAGGAACAATGGAATGGACCAATGGAACAATGGCTGCTTTTCTTCCACGCGCGCCCGATTTTATGAGGGGGGGGGGGATAATATGAGACCCTATTGGTCGTGATCTGGCTTCCAACAAAAAATTTAAAACAGTTCTCTCATTGTAGTTTTTTGGTTTTTCATATTTATTTGCACGAAAAACGTATTATAGGCGCTGTGCTACGCTACGCACCCAGTTTTGTTTTTAGCTAATTTTGAGGACACTTATGAACGGAAGAAACTTATATATGTCGTTTTTCAAAAAAAGATGTCTTAGAAATTGCTGACACTCAAATTTAATTTTTCACCAGTTAACTTTTGACTTCTTTTTAAGTTGAATTCACTTTGATTTGATAAAGTTAAGGTGAATTAAGCTCTGCAGTAACAAAGTGGCATATGACACGAATAGTGTGGTTCATTATTGGATTCCAAAATAGATTTTAATTTTCCTGTGCAACAATCTTAGCTAACATTTAGTCTCTCCCCTCACATGCTTAATGAAACGCAAAAATTCAAAAAAAAATTGCAACCTTCTGCGCAGCTTAATTAGCATTCGGCTGCTTTTGTGCATTACAATTGTCGTTGTTTGTTGCAGATGCAGCAATTGGAAAGTATGCTACGTGAGGTCGAAGAGTTGGAGTTGCAGCTGGGTGAACAGCATTCCTCAGAGGGAGACTCCCCCCTCCAGCTGACACATGTGAACAACTACTCCCCCTCCCAATCGAGGAACAGTCTGGAGTTCGACTACCACGAAGAACACTCCAACACTCTCGATATGGTCAGTCAATCCGTTCACCTATTGTGATTATTTGATTTGGTCATCATGCAGAATTACGTTCACAAAACTAACTTTTAAGCCATGTATGTCTTGATAAATTCTTAACGAAAATTCATAGAACAGATGACTTCAAACACAGTTCCGCAATTTAATAAAAATCAAGTATTGATTTATTCGTCGGCCAAGTGACCCAGCTCTTTTCGCGTATCATTATTTAATAACGCAGTCAGATTGTTAGGCTTACTGAATAGTTCGGCCTCTCTTCTGCTGATTAAACCTCTCTGTTTTTTTTCGACCAATCAGAAGAGGAAACGAGGAAGAGGCGGACTGAGTGAGATCGAAGTTGAATTGGCCGAACTGGAGGAGATTCTGAAGCAGAGTCAAGCTAGTAGTGACATGCAGCTCATCGAGCAGAAACTGAATCAAGTCGAAAAGGGACTCCACTTGGCTAATCAGAGAAACACTCACTCCGAACATGCGGTCAGTGTAATTGTAGAATAAAATGTTATTAAATTTTAAGGTTGTATATTAAATCCTTATTGTTTCGACCATTGAAAATGGGGAGGAACTCAGTCTTTGGATACCGCAAATAAATAAAAATCAGTTACCGCAAATAAATAATGGAATGGGTCAAGTGAAATATCATTATTAGTCTTTTCAGTCGTGATTTGAACGATATTTAAGAATTTTCAAAAAGGTTTCCCAGAATCAAGAACAATTGGTTCGAATTTGAATTTCAGTCTATTTTTGAGCGAGTAAAGCGAGTCTTATTAAGCAAATTTGTTCATTGAAGAAGTGAAAAACTTGATTTACTCCAGAAAAACTCATTTTGGAAGTTTCTTTGAAAACATAATTTTGTAAATCAAAAAACTAATCTAAAAAATAAAAATTTTTAGAAAAAGTTTTTGAAGTTTTTTTTTCAGTTTTTGCATACAACTATTATCGATTATGCCTTATCCACTTACGTTCTACGAGTCCGTATATTTCTCTCAACACACCACGAACAAAAAAACGGACACTAACTTGAACAATGATAGCCGGTTGCCTTTTAAGTATCATAAATTGCTCCGTCTTTTAAGTATCAAAAAACTGCACTGAAAAGGTTTTTTTTTCAAATTAATGTGTTTTCTTAGTGAATGGCATGACAAGAGAACTATAAAAACCCATAGAAAGTTAATGAATTAAATTTTAATAATTTTTTCCAAACATACGACAAACAATAAATCAAAAGTTCAATGATTTAAACTCAATTTTCAAACTTTTATTGCCAAGGAAGCGCTAACTTAAGCTGCCACAAAACAATTTTTAATAGTATCATTAAATTTTTTCGCCCTAAATTTTCACCCTAATTAAACGAGCATTACTCGCTCCGAAGCGCAAAATTCTAGTCGCTCGAAGTTACTCTTAACTCAAAAGTTTCAAGGCAATTTTTGAAAATGTTTGAAGATAATTCAAGTCACGACTAAAAAAGGCTTCAGTTTGATATTCACTCGACCCATTCGGTGAATTTTTTTGAAACCTGATTTTGCGTAGATACAAAAATCCTCCCCATGTTGAATAGTCGGAACAAAAAATGTTTTTTTTTTTTATGAATGTGATAGGAATTTTCTGTGCTACTTGCGCAGCAATCGTCTATCTTTGTTGTAAAGGGTCCATGTTTATTATAAAAATGTGTCTTTTCAGGTTGCCGAATTAGAGAAGGAAGCGGGATCTCTAGCTCAAGAGTTCAACTCGTCTCTGAAGGTAATATTTTCTCAATTTTTTGATGATTTCTGAATAAATATTTCTGCAAAAACTTAAGTTTTCAATAACTTGTGATTCACTTATTTTCCAAAATTAAAAAAAAATTAGAAAATAGAATTCTGATTGGAAATGAAATGATGTTGTCCCTTTCAAAATTCTCTGTATCCGTCTTAACTCTTCCTTTTTTTTCAAGCCTTCCAAAGAACTTCTCGCAATATTGCGAAGTGTAGTTTCGAGAAAGGCTCGGCCAAACAACGAGTTGGTTGCTTTTACCAAAGAAGCCATCGCTCAAACTCTTCTTTCACTAGCAAAGTTGGATCAAAAAATAGGAAAAGCTTTATCGAATTCCAAATCTGAGAGATTCCCAACCGAAAATGATCCAATAATTCACTCAAATTTTTATAGAAATCGAAAAGTGAAAATTCAGCGAATCCAAAATTTACAAATCAAAGAAGAAATTAAATTCAAAAACAAATTGAATTTACCGAACGAAAAGTTAGTGGAGCTGCAAAATTTTCCGGCGTTTTCGAAATTTCTTCCTGAAAAAGCATCACTTATGAAGTTATCGCCCGTCGCAATGTCAGTTATTAACCAGCAATCATTCTTAAACTGAAGAGAATCTACCGATAAAAGTAAATAATGGTACGGCTTCATGTAGAACATAATAATATCATTTTTGTCAAAATCATATTAGTTTAAAAGTTTTAAATATTCATCTGGATAGGATTTTTAATCATTCAAATTCAAGACCATCCTCATCAAACTCATGGTATCATTTGATTCTATAGAAAATCGATCGCAGAGAGAATTTTTTTAATCTAGCCATTTTACGGCGAAATGTTGCCATGAACTTTGTTAAGGCAAAAATTAAAGTTGTACAAGACATGCATATAATTCTCATTACCTGCCTGAAATTGACCTAAATACCTCTGAAATGAGAGTTACAGGCATTCACCAAATCTCTCATTTATATGAATATGAACAGAAAACTGAATGGATCTTTTTTATCACGAAGAATTGTCGGATTTTATAAAAATATGATTTTGCAGGAGCAGATTATCTGACCAGGATTCTTGCATGCATCGAAAATATGAATTGCTCTTAAATGCAGCGTGCATGAGTCGCAAAATTTCAAAAAAAAACTAGGACATTGTTAAACACGATTCCCCCTTCATTGTTTTTCGTTCGCAAAAGAACAATGGAGAAGTGTATAATCATTTAATTTCACAGTATGTTTGTTAAATTAATAAATTTCTATGTCATCCCACTTAATTTGTTAATTCGAAGCGCAAAATTTGTTGTGTATAGTTCCAGTTTTCTTTTAGAAATGATCAACGAAAGCCTCAAACAGATTATCAAACATATCAAACTACCCAGAAATTGGACACATATCAGAGCGACCTTGAACTCCAAAACCAGATGTAATTCTTTCGCCCTCTTGCGGGGTCGCAATCCAGCTCATGCTTTCCAGGATGACTCGTCGTCTTCAATTTGCACACTCAACTATATCAACCCCAGATCAAAATCAGCTACTGCTAATCTGTCTTAATCTTGTTACAAATCAAGTCTAATTTAGGATACAAATTTGTAGAAATTACCTTATATGGATGTGAACATTTGGATACAGAGTTAATTTATTTTACATCAAGTTAGTTTCTGACGGAAACAAGTTTTGAGATTGAATGGAAACCTGAAAAAATTCTTAATAGTGTTTTTTTATTGTATTTTGATTGGATCAACCATACATTTGTGTTCCAGACGCTTTTTTCTCCGGAAAAGTTATCCGATAGACGGAAAAAATGCTCAGGCAAAACATTGTGAGGCATTTGTGTCAGAAAATGTACCGGACGAACTGGCGGTTAACCGTTGATGATAACCACCGTGCACTCAAATAGTTATAGGTAAAACTTCAGAGTTTGTAATAAAAGCGATCAAGTGCTTTTCTTGTTCCTACTTTCGAAGAAACTGGTAGAATATTTATGCTCTGGGTAGTTATTTATTCCGTCAATTTTCGGCTTTTTAACTGAGTTTTTTTGAAGGAAATTTTTTATATCTTGTGAAAAACATTGTTATCCGGAACTCCCGTACCTAACTTAAAATGCATTTACTAATCTGATCAGTTTTATTTCTTCTTTTTTGCTGAAAATGCTGCAAGATTGTATTTACAAAGCGTGACATGAACCTGAAATATTTGAATTGTGTTAAAATATTAAATGGGAAAAATAAAAGCTCTATGATTATATTAAAAAGATCTACTGTCTTTTTTATTTTGGGTACAGTTTTGGAAGGCATATGGGTCGTTTCTGCATTTGCTTTCTCATTTTTTACTCATTGAGTATGAGCGTTCAAGCTTTCAAATTAAAATAATAATTCTTTTTGTTTTAAGAAAAATTGAAGGTTTTTTAAAAATTTACCTTGGATTGAGTATTTGTAGATCCCGATGTTTGTCCTTGCTGAAGTCCCGAAACTCTGGTAATTTTCACAGGATACATTTTTACAGCAAGTATCTGGAAGACGTCCAAAAACGATTAGAAGAGCTCAAATTCAGTAAAAAAAATTAGAGCAATAATTTAGGAAAAATTGTCTAACAGCTGATTTGCAACTCAAAAAGAATTCAAATAACTCGCTTTTTATAAATATAAAAAAATATCAAGGTTTCAGGAAAGTTTTGCTACAATTATTAGAACACCGCATCCTTTTTTGTTTAAAATGGTGCAGTAAAAGGTGAAGTCCCATTTGTTTCAACGTTCATTTGTAACAATTTAAAAAATCAGTACCATATGTACCAAAATTATTCAACTCGTTTTCTGATTGGTCCAATTGTGAGCCAACGAATCATTACCTAAATTTTCTACTGTTCAAACAAGAAAACTAAGCAGCAGAATAGTGACCGCCGCAGTCGCGCCAACGTGTTGCCTTGCCAACAGAGGGTGGGACTTTATACGAAAATTAGAGCCAGTTATCGCGGCAACGCGTGCGTTGCGCGCGCACCGGCGACCTTAAACCAAGAGCTTAAAATAGTAGGCTTAGTAGTCTTTGGCCAATTGAATATTTTTGGTACTAACGCGATTGATTTTTTTTAATTTGGTACAAATGGGACTGATTTATCATTTTGATACTTGTGAATACCACCCAGTAAAAGAGCAATTAAACCATTTCTGCGACTTTTTGAGAACAGTTGAACAGAGTAGTGACAAAAAAAACTGATTTGATTTTTTTTTTGAAAAAAATGTTCACCATACAATTTCCATATACGACACAAAAAATTTTTCAGTAGTAATTTTGAAAAATTGCCCCAAAAATTTTTTTTGGTTTTTTTTTCAACCGCAAATCTAGTTTTTTACGCAAGCAAACATTTTCCGAAAAAAAAAATTTTTGCAAGCAAAATTTAATTTTTTGTGTGCATAACGTAGTCCTAGATACGATAATAATGGCTTTTTTTTCTTTTCACTTAATTTTTTTTCGAAAACACTGAAAATTCCTATTTCTTTTGTATGACGTGTTTTTGTATGCCTTGATCAATGTCTGATAACTTGAAAATTTACAAATTTAAAATAATCATCATTGAAAAACTTTGCCAAAATTAAAAGTTTGTTACTTTTGTTATATGATTTGTGAAAGACAGCTGGAAGATAATTCTGGTCGTTTTCTATGCATTGTAAATGCAAGACCGTCCAACCTTTGGTACTTTGAGTAACCAAGGTCTTTGACACTTGTGTTCGGTTTTAAACACAACCAAAAATTTGTCAGAAAATAAATTTATGAACAAAAAACAGTCTTTCGATTTATGGAGAAAATACCGATCATACAATTTCCATTTACGGGAAAATGCTTGTCATAGAGATTTCATACAATTTTCTGTACATATGGAATTGTATCGAAAATAAGTTTCCTATTTATGAGGATTGTGTGATAAGCATTTTTGGTCAACCTGGGATATTTCAATTCGTAAGTGAGACTGTCAGGTATGATCATGCTACGGACTCATATGATCAGAGCAGCCAACCTATTATAAACAGTTTTAAAGGCTGCCATATCTGTTTTGATGGGGCAGCTCAACAGTGCCGAAGTACAACAATGCCGAAAAAAATTAATTCAACAGTGCCAAAATTGGAGTGATTTTCTTTGTTAATTGGCGTCAGTAATTTCCCGCTCTTTAGAAAATGTTATAAAATGCGCTTAAATTGTTCTCAAATTTTCCCGTCTTTTTCGGCACTTGTATTTTGGCACTGTTGAGCGCCCCAATTTTGATTAATTCTACTCGGTACGGGCTGAAACATGAAATCATCAACTCTGATCCTGTTTTAAAAAGTAATGGGAGTTTGAAATTTGCTATATTGGCCAATTTGTGATATTAAACGTGCAATTTATTGTTTTCTCATAACATCCCTAAGTGACGTATTTAATCGTTTCCCATACAAATTGAATCAAGGCAAGTCATTTGGTCTTGTATTTAAGGATTTGTACTTTACATAGTGTGAGGTAATAAAAAGAGAACAAGACTGCTCGTATCAGGGCGAAGCCCTGAATATTCCGACTGCCTTTCAAGGTTTTATGGAGCAGTAATAACATCAAAAAATTAAATGTAATAAAATAAAGTGAAAATTTTTTTTTTCAAAAATTTGAAATTTTTTATGAAAATCATCCCCCCACACGCCATATAAAGTACAAAAAGATAGATTTAGCTCCTTGTAACAAATCAATTATGGCAAATAAGCTTCTTTCAACCAATTTGGAACGATTTTAAGACGGATTAAATCTCCGCTTACGCGTTAATAGCGCGAAATATATCGCGCGTTAATTGTCCCAAATTGCTCAAAATGACCAAAATGGCAATCTTTAAACCCTCATCACCCCACACGCCATATGCTAAACCAACAGCTAAACCAAATTTCCTAAAACAGGCAATGCATTAAAGTTAAAGGCTCTTTGACCATAAATTTTTTTAAACCAACAGCTAAACCAAATTTCCTAAAACAGGCAATGCATTAAAGTTAAAGGCTCTTTGACCTTAAATTTTTTTAAAAGTTAGTCTGAAAATTGGGTTCTATTATATAAGTGTTGTGGGGTTGAAATACACACTTGAATCATGATTTTTATTCCATAAAACAACCTGACTACCATTTAAACAGCAACCTTTTTCATCTGTGTTAGTAATATTTAAGATTTTAATACCAGTTTCCACCATCTACCGCGCATATATTGTCAAAACCTAAGATGACATTTTCATGCGAGAGGAATTCTTCTACAAACTAAAATTTAAACAAGACTGCTCGTATCAAGGTGGAGCCATGAATGTTCCGACTGCCTTTTAAGGTCTATAGAGCAGTAGTAACGTGAAAAAATTAAATGTCAGAAAATTTAATAAAATTGAAAAAAAAATACATTTGAAATTTTTTTGTGAAAATCATCCCACCACCCGCCATATAAACTATAAGGTGATAAATTTTGCACCTAGTAACAAATCAATTATGACAAATAAGCTTCATTCAATCAACTTGGATCGATTTCTAAGACGGATTAAATCTCCGCTTACGCGTTTATTGCAAGAAATAAATCGCGCGTTAATTGTCCCAAATTGGCCGAAATGCCAATCCTGAAACCCCTATAACTTCACAAAAAAAAGATTGCAGGTGGAATATCTTGTCACATTTAAGCGCCCAGGACAACAATACCTTTTGAGTGATAAAAAACAATTCGGTCAAGAATACTAATTAAAAAAGTCGAAATTTATCTGAAGGAAAAAAAATCACCCCGAGCACCAATATTCCATTACTTTCGTTACAAAAGTCGAAACAATAATTATTGTCCAAGTCCCACAACAGCTTTGATCTAAGATAAAATTCGATTTTTTTTGAGCATGACATTTTTTTTGTGAAAATCATCACCCCACACGCCATATAAAGTTCAAAGTGATAGATTTCACTCCTATTAACAAATAAATTATGACAAATAAGCTACGTTCAACCAATTTAAAACGATTACTAAGACTGATTAATTCTCCGCTTCAATAGCGCGAAATAAATTGCTCGTTAATTGTCCCAAGTTGGACAAAATGGCAATCATTAAATCTCCATAACTGTAAAAACAAATGACCACAGGTGATATATCTTTTCAAACTGAAGCTCGGGACAAAAATACCTTTTGGATGATACAAAATAATTCCGTCAAACGGTTAGTTGAGAAGTCGAAAACTGTCTGAAGAAAAAAAAACATCCCGAGCACAAATATTCCGTTACTTTCGTTACGAAAATCGGAACAATAATCCAAACTTCAGTTAAAATCATATTACAACCGGTTGTTTTTGTTTTTTTTTACGAACACGGAGTCACACAGAATTTCGTTAATGAATGTCTTACCGTACAACCCTTACGTCACTAATAGCCATTTTATGCCATTCTCTCAATTCCTACTTTTGACCAGACCGACTGTGTGCCAGATTGTGCTAAATAAGTCATTCGTAACGAGAAAAATTGAGCCTGAGAATCAGTGTTTGCCGTTAAATTACATAGCTCTTCTAAGAAAATCAAAGCACGTTTGCTAACACTCCGCGAAGTAATTGTTCTCTCCATCTACACAGAATGATTTCATGAGAAAAAAGTGCTTACTAGGATGGAAAAAAACTGTTTATCATTCAGTTTCATAGAAAAAA